ATCTCAAAATAGAAGGAGCCGTTTGGGGAGGAGAAGCCTAATGAGCAGTCCAGGTACCTGAGCACCACATACCATCACTAGGAACCCCGCCCCAAGGAAATCTTAACCCGACTGCTTCCCAATCAGATCTCTGGTAACCCTATCAGCCAAAGGCAGTCACTGCCAACATACTGGCAGGTTGCCTTCTGGTTTCTTTGCGTATTTTTTTAACATAGTGAAATCATACCACATATACAATTTTCCACTTTTTATTGAAAATTACTTCTGTAGGCTATTTTGTAGTCTACCAGTATTTACCAAACCTTTCCCTAATTGTTGGACATTTACAGCTATCAAGAGGTTTTCACATATTGAGGTATATGGGGTAACTATTCGGGTTCAAAACCAATTCGGCTTGAACTAAAGCCTGACTTATGGCCTGTCAAACACACCTTGTCCATCTGCTTAACCATCAACGTAAAGAATGCTCTCTCAAGATAAGAATGCAGACTGCCCCTCCTAAGCCCTATCAGTAACACCCAGATTAGTCCCTTTCCCAACATCAGGGTCATGTTGATCTGCTAACTTGCAACTAAATCTCTTTGAAACTTTGATGAAAATGTATCCTGGCTGTGTTTAATGTATGTTCTTTGTCCTAAAAAGATGTAAGACTGTACTGAAAACCATGCTTACGCAGAACGATTCCTTTCCGGAAAAGGCCTTCCCGGGTTATAATCCTCACTGCGACTCAAGTAAACTCATCTTTTTTCCCTTATCTATAGAATAGTTACTGGTTGTTTTGCGTCGACACAGTTTAGTGGTAAGAGCAGTTCTCGAGACACATCGTCTGCTTTGAGTCTCACTTCCTGACTGGGCCATCTTGGGAAAGTTACTAATTCTCTATGCCTCAGTTGCCTCATTTGTAAAATTGTTACCTCCCAAGGAGCAGCCATCTGCCCATCACAGGACATGCCAATAGTGAAGAGGCAAGTTGGTAGGAGAGAAAGGGTTTTATTATGGCCTGCTGGCAATGGGGAAGATGACTGACTAATGCCCAGAAGAGCCATCTTACAGAACAGACTACAGGCCAGTTATACAGGGGGCTGGTCTCCAGAGGGAGGAGCCATCTGGTCTTAGTTCCTGATAGTCTTGTTTTACTGGATATGCATCAGAGAACGGAGGAATGCCCTATTCCCTGACATTTCAGTTCTCATTGACAATGGCTATCAGCACAGACTCCCTGCTCCAGGAGTCACCACATTCTAAGTGTGGAGGATTGGAATTGGCCACCCCAAGATATGTCTCCTTGGCATGAGGATTATTGTAGGCTGGTTACTTTTAAAAACTGCAGACATGAGAGAAACTCTGAAAAGTAGAAGTTACCCTTTGTTAAGAAACGTATTTGTAAGGGAAATGTCCATCTGTAAAGGTGCCTCCCTCTCTGTCTCCCAGGAAGAAGGGGGGATGACCTCATCTCTAGAAACTCTTATCAATGTGCAAGGCAAGGACTTAAATCTGCATAATCACCTTACTCTTGTTTACTGTGCTTTTCTGGTAATCTCCCATAACTGGCTCCCTCCCACCCCCAACATCCTCCTTTGTAGTTGAAGATGATATTTAAGATGAGAACCTCTGCCATTTTGGTGAGTTGCTCAGTTTTCCTGAGTCTCTTCCACATATACAATGTTACAAAGCTTTGCTTAATTTTCTCCTGCTAGTCTGTCACATGTGAACTTAATTTGTAGTCCAGCCAGAAGGACCTAGAGTGGGTATAAGAAATGTCTTCCTCCCCCACATAAGGAACTCAAAAGAATGAAGTTATCAACTTACAGCAGCTGGGAGGGGCCATAAAATCTACAGAGCATGTCTGGGTGAGTTAATCAGAAGTCACTCAAAGTTCCAATATGGTGCCTTTTTTTTTTTTTTTTTTTTTTTGGCTGAGAAAGACTGGCCCTGAGCTAACATCCATGCCCATCTTCCTCTACTTTATGTGGGTCGGCTACAACAGCATGGCTTGCCAAGCGGTGCCACATCCACACCCGGGATCCGAACCAGGGAGCCCCGGGCCACCGAAGCAAAACATGCACTTAACTGCTGTGCCACCAGACTGGTCCTACAATATGGTTTCTGTTCTACAATGTGGCTTCCCTCATGTCAACCTTGCGCTGAGCAGGTATCAAAATGGGGATTATACCTCACAGACTTGTTTTATTAGAGCTAACTCAAGTAAAGCACTAAGAACACTGCCCAGCACATAGCATGCACTCAGAAATTTTACCAATTATAGGTAAAAGCCTAAAAGTCTGAGGAGAAAAATTGTGAAAGACTTCAAAACGGACCAAAAGATTACTAGATGTCTTTCATGTGTTGACACAAAGTAACCAATAAGCACTCTACAGAAGAGATAAGGTGAGTTTTACTTGAGCCAGAGCAAGGATCACAACCCCAGAAGGCAGTTTTCACAAAGGAAAAAAGCATTCAGAAGCACGGCTTTCAAGTTTTATACCTTTTTAGAACACAGAACATACATTAAACACATCCAGGATACAGTCATCAAAGTTTCAATGATGTATTCAGTTGCAAATTAAGTCAGCATGACCCTGATGTTGGGAAAAAGAATTTATCTTCAAGGGCCAGCCTGGTGGGGCAGCAGTTAAGTTTGCACATTTCGTTTTGGTGGCCTGGGGTTCACCGGTTTGGATCCCGGGTGCAGACATGGCACCACTTGTCAAGCCACGCTGTGGTAGGCATCCCACATATAAAGTAGAGGAAGATGGGCACAGATGTTAGCTCAGGGCCAGTCTTCCTCAGCAAAAAGAGGATTGGCAGCAGATGTTAGCTCAGGGCTAATCTTCCTCAAAAGAAAAATAATCTACCTTCAGGAGTACTAGTACAGGCATTACTGATACTGGTCAGCGTAGGAGGGAAAGTATGCACTCTTATCTTAAAGAGTGCAATTCTTCAGTCCCAGGCCTCGTGGGGTGGTTGAATTCAGCATGCTTCAAGTCAGCAGCCCTGGTTCACATCCTGGGCACAGATCTACAGGACTTGTCATCCATGGTGCGGCAGCAACCCACATATAAAGTGGAGGAAGACTGGCACACACATTAGGTCAGGGCTAATCTTCCTCAGCAAAAAAAAAAAAAAAAAAAAAAAACACAACTCATTCTTTTACTCTGAGATAATGTTTAATGCCCTCTTCACTCTCACCCTAACAGTTAAAGATGTAGAACGTGTTTGACAGACTGTAAGTCAGGCTTTAGTTCAAGCCAAATCCATTTTGAACCAGAATAGCTACCCCCATATACCCCAATTACGCGAAAATCTCTTGTCACATAGAAATTAAAGCTTTGTCTGCACAATCCTGGGCTGAGCCCATGTCTGAGCTATTGTACATAAATACTTGTCCAGACATGCAAATTCTGTCCGGTGGGTAACTGACTTCACTCTCCCCCAGAAAATGCCAGTTTTACACTTGATCTATCGTATTTTGCCATCAACACTATTGAGCTTTTACTAGTGAACTTAATTCAGCTTAACAATCGAAGACCTACTATTAATATACAAGGAAACATGCTATGTGCTATGATAAACATGAAAATAACACTTCCTGCCTTCATGTAATTAATTGACCTTTGGGGACAAGAGGTGGTCTTTCAGCCTTACAGTACATTGTGGGTACTGAGCATTAGCACTGACGTCAGACAGACTCAAGTTCCCACCCAGTTTTGATCCCTTTCCAACTTGGGGAGACCTCAGGGAAATTAATCTCTAAGCCTGTCTCCTCAGCTATGTAAAGAGGGTATCTATGGAAAAGTCTTCTGAGACTTTAAAAAGTAGGGTGCTTAGCATGGTATCTGGCACACACATCTTAAAACAGACTCTCTAGCAGTAAGTCATTCAGCCCCCAACAGGGAAGCCATACCTCCTACCTCCTATCCGTGAAGCCCTCACACCCACTGCACCACAGAGGGCCAGGAGTGGCTGGGGAAGTGCTCCCCCAGCCAATGATCACTTCTTACAGGAGCGTTTACACGGGGCCATCCCACTAGACCAGAGTCTAGCTCAGCCAAGACTCTCATAACCGAATCACACACATCTCACTACCTCATCTACCTAAATCAACAGCTGTGTAAGCCTTTCTCTTTTATCTCAAACTTTTACAGTTGCTCAGCAGACACAACTTCTTATCCAACCTCACCACCTGCAACATCAGCTCCATCCCATTACCAAAACCCTTCCTACAGCCTGTCTCTCCTCCCAATCTTCCTTCCACCTCCTTATCCTGTTTGAAACCTGGCTCTCCTCTAAAGACACTTTCCCAGCAGCAACTGCAGTTATCATCACACACTCCTGGACTCAGGTTAACAGCAGGAAGACTTACCCAAGCTCATGAAACTTACACTTCAGTGTCCCTAACTCCTGAGTTCCTTCTAAGCCCCTAGAAAGCACACTAGTTAAGTGCTCAGTCACATTTTTGAAAACACTGCAGATAATTAACCACAATCAGTAAAGATGTTTTCTCTGCTCCAGCTTCTGGTCATCCTTTCCCTCCCATCAGATGACAATGTCCCCACCACTCTTTCCAACTACCTCAACCCCTCCCTCTATCCTGGTCAGGCCAAGATCACCTGCCTAAACTGTTCCAAAAGACTTGCTTCCTGGCTTTCATGTTCAGTCCACTAAAACCTATTTTGTTTACACGACCCAGTGAACTTTTAATCACTGTTCCCTTCCACACACAAATATTTGAAAAACTTACAAGCTTTCATCTGTGAATTTCCCCAAAAGGCAGGACTGCCACCTCTGGGCAAATGCCCAGAGCGGGTTTTAATGATAACCTTCTTTCTCAAAAGCATTTCTCAACAGCTTTACTCCCAGCGCCCGGCTCACTGCAGTGAGTCAAGGGCTCACGAGACAGTCTGTCTTAGGTTACAATGCTGGATGCTCCTACATATAGCAGGCACTTCACATAAAAAGTGTTTTTTTACAGTGTAATAACAAAACTATCATACTCAGAGTTTAGCATGAATACTTTTACCTGAGAAAACATAAGCCACATATTTGAAGATAAATCCACTGAGAAATAGTAAATTTTAAAAGGATTTCCATAATCAATTGACTATTCCATTGACGTTAAAACACCCATAATTGAAGTATTTTTTTATTTTATGTACAAATAACTAGCATCATTTCTGTCGTCGGGAGATGGCTCGGATAACGCATTCGTGGAAGGTCACTCAGTCCAACTGGAAAAAAAAAAAGAAAACGAATTAATTCTAAAGGCTTTAAATATCTGTTTTATTCTCACAAAAACTGGTTCATTGTAGAATGAGGTGTAAACTGGAAATCTGACCTACCCAAACTAGCTAAATATTTACTGAATGCCTACTACAAGCTGCTGCACACACCACAACCATTATATTTCAGTCTGTGAACTTTGGCATTGGTATTCTCGCTTCTTCCACGAAGGAATTCCCATTCCAAAAACACCACTACAGAAAATGATCTTTACCAAAAGCTCACGATGGTTATTAAGTAGGTAACTAATCACATAGCTAATATTTTGGTACTCAATGTGTGCCAGACACTATTCCAGAAGTCATTGATAAACTAAGTCATTTGATCTTAATCTCTGAGAACTGGGGACACACAGCTGCCCGAAGGCCTGAGTCCATTCTCTCCTCTGTGACATGCTACCTCCCACTGAGTTAGTGAACTTCCACGTTCTAACACCAAGCATACAGTCGTAAAGAATCTGGTCAAAGCTAAAAGTCTAACCTTAAGATACTCTGTCTCTGCCAGAGGTCTCACATTAACAATTTCTATCCACTACAATACCTTAACACTAAGACAGCCATTTTCTAACAAGTAGGTTCTACTCAATATCCTAAATACTTATTACTTAGAAAGCTAGTTACTCTATCTGAAAGAGCCAGTAAGAATTCCTTCTCACCTTAAAAAAAACTTGGGCATTCAAGTGATTTTTAAGAGCCCAGAAAGCTTCCTACACGCTAACTAGCTAATTCCTGCAACAGCACTGGCACTTATTTTTCAGAGGCAGAAGCTGAGCTTCCAGGGACTTGACTGAAGTCAGACGACCAGGGCAGACTTCCGTCCGCGCCCTGACAAGGTCTACGCGGCCCAAACCTCCAGCTCACTGCAGCACACTCCCGTGCATCCAGCTACCCAGCACTGCAGGGCAGTGGTCAACACAGGCACGTCCCTGGAAACCGTCCAGAGACGACTAGAGACCTAAAACGCAACTCAGCGGGTTCTCAACAGTGAGTCACCGTCCCACACGCACGCGGCCCGACACTGCAGCGGCGGGCGCGAAGGCCCGGAAGGCTCTGCCCAGGACCCCCGCCGCCCGCCCGCGCACCTTCACGAAGCCGATGTCCTTGGCGTACTGGCGGAAGCACTGGCGGCACATGTTGAGGCCGTACTTCCGGATCAGGCCGTGCCGGTTCGAGCAGACGCGGCTGTGAGGGAAGACGGCGTTACTGCCGGCCGCACGAGTCACAGGATCCGCGCCCGCACCGCCGGCCCCGCGGACGTCACGGAGACCCGTGATGGCGGCAGCCACCGCGCCATCGCCCCCCCGCGCCGCCTGGGCTCCTCCCCGTAGAGTTCACGCAGAGTCGCGGTCCAGGGCAGCCCTCCCCCTACAACCACACTCCGTTTCTCACCAAGACCGAGAACCCTGGCCGAATTTCCTCGGATGGCTCCAGTAGAGCTGCTGGTGACCCATCTTGCTTTCTCGGAGGCAACGAGGCGAAAAGAAGGAGGTGGCGCACGCATGCGCTCTTCACACTTCGGGGACACTTTACCCAGAATGCAGTGCTGACAAGCGACGCGTGCGCAGTTTGCTTACGCTAGTCCGCGGGAGCGACCGGCGCGAAGTCTTGGAAGTGTTCCAGGCCGGCGCCGCTGATGACGTCAGCGCGCCTCTGCCTCCGGACCGCCTCTCGCGGGGCGTGCCTAGCCCCGCCCCGCCCCGCCCCGCCCCGCCCCGGGCCGGGTGACGTCACGCGCCGCAGCCTCTAGTGCGCCCAGGCGCCGGCTCCGAGCGCCGGGCGCGGTGGCGCGCGCCTGTAGTCCCAGCTACTCGGGAGGCTGAGGCTGGAGGATCGCTTGAGCCCAGGAGTTCTGGGCTGCCGTGCGCTATGCCGATCGGGTGTCCGCACTAAGTTCGGCATCAATATGGTGACCTCCCGGGAGCGGGGGACCACCAGGTTGCCTAAGGAGGGGTGAACCGGCCCAGGTCGGAAACGGAGCAGGTCAAAACTCCCGTGCTGATCAGTAGTGGGATCGCGCCTGTGAATAGCCACTGCACTCCAGCCTGGGCAACATAGCGAGACCCCGTCTCTTTTGTACCCTCGGGAAGGAATTTTTGAACCCCCAGAAAAAGAAACAAATGACCCTGTGATCCTACCGTCTTTTCATCGCCGGAACATTTTACGTCCTTTTAATTAATTTTACACTCGGGGAAAGAATTTTGCCTCAACTCAGCACTGACACCTACTGGGATAAATTTACAAAATAACAAAATCAGCTGTAATAATTAGGAGTCAACAGTAGGAGTTTCTGTTTGGTCAAACAGAATCCGTTTTCAAAGTCTTTTCCTTTTTTATTGACACACTCCTCATAGAAGTACACCTACGTCATTCCATAAAAATGATGCGAGCCTTAGTGTGTTTGATATTTACATGTAGTTGGTTGAGTTTAAAGTGAGAAACGAGTAAATGTGCAACGTATGTTGCTTTGACTAGGTGATTGGTGACAAAACAACTAGTGAAAACCAAATACCGTCTGATAATCTGCTGAAAGATTTCTAAATTCCACGTGGTCGTTTATAATGCCTCTAGATAAACCTAGAACGTTATATGGATCTGAAATAAAAGCTTTAACTATGAAATGTACCACAAGGTGCAATAATCCAGGAAACTTTGACACGTGAACCCTTATTTTATAACTGAAATACAACACTTCTGGAAGGTAAGTTACTTCAGGATTCTGGTGGAGTGCCCCTCCCAGTCATTAAATTAGGCACTTTTTTACGTGATGAAGGAAGGGGACAAGTCAGATTAAAACACCAGATATGACTAGAGTCCTGCCCTTAAAACTTGCATACGTAGTGAGGAAAACAAGATGAACTCAAAGAGCCTTTCCTTCCAGTTTCAACTTTTGTCACTCAGTGACCTGTCTGCAACTAAAGCAGAACGTACGGTATTCACAGATGGATGTGCTCGTGGAGTTCAAGAGGAGCAAAGAAGAGAGAAATTAATTCCAGCTTAAGGTACATTTCAGGGCCTTTGAGATAAACCTTAAAGGATGGGATTTCTACAGGAAGTGAATGCCTAGTGAGAGAGGAACAGTTTGAGGCAAAGAGTGGAGTTGGGAAAGGTCTGGAGGAAGGTGAAGAACCTTGCGTAACGAGAGTGGAGGACGCACAAAAGCACAGTGCTAGATAAGATTGAAAAGGTCTTTTATTGAGAGCCTGACTGTGAGGGTCCAGTGTCAAGCTTCCACAGTTTTCCTGGAATTTATATCAGTCATTGACGTGTGGTTTCCAAAATCCATGTGCCTCTCAAAAGCTAAGCTAACATTTGCCCACTATAGCCTTCTCAGGTCTTTCCTAGTTGGTCTCCATAACTTTTTAAAGATTACAGTGGTTCTGAGAACAATTCCATAAATATTTTCAACATTCTGATATATAATCTGTTGGGCCTAAAGAAGTGAACTCATTTAAAAGAGAAAAGAGACAAACAAGAAGTAATTAGTTACACTTGAACAATCTGTGAAACTATCTTGATATTCAAGACGTTCTTAATGTTTATTCTGGTCTTGAAAATTATTCTTGATGGAGATATTACAAAACTGCAGTTGAGAAGTTGTGTTTCCTCTTAGTTTTAAGATAATGTGGTACCGTCTATCTCAACCAATGGAATTATCGCCTTTTTCAATAAGAAAGCTAAGAATACAGCTTTAAAAGTCCATTTTAAGCTGGTGTTTATAAAGACCTTTTACCTTAATCTTGTACTCTTCTTACAGGTTCCTAGCACTCTTTTGTATTTAGCTTTTAAATACTTTTTGACACATTTTCCTCTGATATAAAACTTACTGGGTTTTGGTTTCTTCCCTCCCTTCCTTCCTTCCTTCCTTCCCACAATGAAATACAAAGAAAAAGAAAAATGTACCATAATCTCCTTGGCCAGATAACCCCTACTGATATTTTCTTTTTGAAAAAATAAAATACTTAGAAGATTGAAACATTCTAACAGTACAGAATATAGACATTGTATTTTTAATTTAACCACATTGGAATGATCTACATGTAAAACACTATTAGTTCAGATATCTCCTATTTTCTTCCTCAGAGTATTCTCACAATCATTTGTAATTGTACATCAGAATTTTATTATTTAAAGACCTGCATCTCTCTTGAGTTATTCAATTTCAGAACCATACTTTTTCTCTAAACTTTTAAAAATCTATTTTACCACAGACAAGGTCTAAGATACATCTTTTGCCTGTTTAACTATCACAATAATATGTACACTTGAGCTTCAGCAGCCAGTTCTTTCCAGCTGATCAGAATTAAGTCTTTAATGATTTAATCAATCTTTTTTAAAGTCCAGTGTTTAATAGTGTGTGTGCATATATATACCCACTTCAGAAAATGGATATTTTAACTATATATTCTAAAGTAAAACATACATACATAAAATATATTTTTAAAAGTGAGTTTTTCTCCAGCCCAGACCCCTATTTCTTCATCTCCCTATCCAGACCAATATGTTACCAGTTTTAGGAGGGAGCCTTAAAGAAATATTCTGTCTATACACTCACACACCCATGTATGTGTGTACCTGTATGTATATCTAGGGACACACATACGTATAAATGTGTCTATATACATATGCTTGTATTCATATTTATATGTATTTATTACATCTCTTTTCCTTTACACAAACAGAAACATACCATACCCAATGATGATAGATCATAAAGCATCTTAGAAGGGTATAAAAGCTATGAAGAGATATATAGCAAAAATAGGAAGTGAAACGTCCTTAGGTGAACTTTTTTTTGCATACTTACATATCTATATTTATGTAGTATGTAAATGTAATAAAGTGTGCCTAAAATTCTGAAAATGGGACTGCTAGGTCACAGAATATGAGTTTTTACATTTTTCATAGATATTACCAATTTGCTGTCTATAGAAATTGTAACAATTCAAACTCATACCCATAGAAAGTATCTGTTTTCCCACAATCCCCCAACAGTGTAAATTAGCAAACTTTTTATATTTGTTCTTCTGATAGCCTAAAAACAGTAGATGTCGTTTTAGTTTGAATTTTGGTGAGGCAGAGCCTGTTTTCATATGTGTATGAGCCAGCCATGTAGCTCCACCTGGGCACTTCTCCTCTGAGTCTACAGCCCACCTTTTTATTGTTGCTGATCTGTAATTTTTCTATTTGTAAATGCTTACATGCAAGGAAATGAGCCCTTGTCCTTCATCCTAGTTGCAAAGTTATTTTATTCACCACAACCCCAGATTTTTATTTCTTTCTTTAATTTGTTTCTGGTATATTCTTCCATGCAAAATGCTTACATGTTATGTAGTAAGCAACAAACAAACACATAGAGACAGAGATTGGATTGGTGGTTACCAGAGGGGAAGGGAGGAGGGCTAAGGGGTGATTAGGCACACGAGTGTGGTGGTGGGTTGTAATTAGTCTTTGGGTGGTGAACACAGAAATCAAAATATAATGATGTACACCTGAAATTTATGTTATAAACCAATGCTATTGCAATTAAAAAATGTTGCTAAAAGTATACATTTTCATGACATAATAAATGAATTTGCATAACAGTGATCTAGAAAAATCTTATGATCTATTTAGATATAAAGAGAAAATGTCATTTGTTGTATTATATAATGTAAGACACTGAAAAGATTGTTTTGTAATGTGTAAATGTATGTTGTCACTTGTGTCTTTTTACTCCTATTGTGTTTTATAAGTAATAAAATATTTTAAAGGAAAAAAATTTATTAACTTATGTTACTTCTTTTAGGTTTTGTGTCAAATTTCTAAAACTGTGTTTTTTTGTGGTACTTTTACATTTTCAGTTTTTATTTCAAATCTTGAATCCACCTAAAATTTATTTCCCTGCCCACCAGGAGTGAGGGAGAAATCCAGCCTCCCTCTCTCGCAAATGGCTAGTTCCATACTCCAACACAAGCAACACTAATTGAGTGTATGCTAGTCTATAAGCTTGCTCTATTCTAGCACAATCCAGGCTGTCATCAATATTCATTAAATGAATACATATATTCATTTACTCATTCATTCTTTCTACAAATTTGCATTGAGTGCCTACTATATGTGAACACTACCCCGGGCCTTGTATATAACAGTAGTGACTCAGAACCTGTTCCCAGGCATCTTGTTGTCTAGAGGTGAAGACAGGCATTAAATAACTATTCATATAGAGATATTTTGGACAAGATGACCTAAGATTCTTCTTCCCGTGAACACCAAAAGTGCGAGATGAAATATCGTATGTTTTGAAATGCAGAGTTGAGCTCCAGGGAATCCCAAGAGCAGGTGCTAAGAAGGAACTAAAAACCACACAGGATGCCCTGGGGAGATGTGTCCAGCTGAGTAATAGGACCTGGGTTCTAAAGAGAACAAGAGATAAGCCTCTGGGCAACTGTATTTAATTAAATTGCAAAGAGTGGAAATCCATGAAAGGTTTTGGGAAGAATTCGGTGCAGCATATGAGATTGAGTTGAGCACTATTTGTTCTAACACTAACTATCTGTGAGGTCATGGACAAATCCCTTTACTCTTTTCCGCCTCTATTCCCCTTGTGTGAAATGAAAGAAGTAACTTAGAATATCTGTGAACTCTGTTTCAGCTCCAAAAGTTTAGAGTTCTGTGATAGGAGACCCTTTAGAAATTCAATTTGGCAGCAGTGTGGATGGTGCATTATTGACTGCATTAGCCTCCTGACTTATCCTCAGCCTCTGGGCTTGCTCCACCTCCAAAGTATCCTCTTTACTGACCACAGGGACCTTTCCTAAACAGGCCTGAATTTTAACTCCTGCTTGAAAATTATCAATGGTTTTCCAGGACTTTCAGGCTAAAGTTCAAAGGCCTTGGTTTAGCAAACAAAATGTTTTCCTCGTCTGGCTGCTTTATACTCCTCTAATGTCCTCCTCTAACATTTATTCCATTGTAGTATCATTGTTGTTTGACTTGTCTTTCCTAAACACTGTAAACTCATCTTTGCCTTCTAAACATCTGGCATGGATGTGGGCATACAGCAAGAACACCATAAATACTCAATGAATGAATAAATTGAAGTAAGAAGACCTATGAATTTAGGAATATTTCTGGAGGGAAGTAATGCTCTGAGCTGACATGCTGGTACTAAGAATGGAAAGGTGGGTATTAATTAGGAAGTCATAGTGGAAACACAACCTAAAGACATGAACCAAGACTGTCAACAGGGGCAAGGCAGCACCATGGGGTCTAATGCTTAGGTGTATGCTTGTTAACTATTTAGCTTTATTTCCTTTAGATGAAGTTTACCATTAAAACAAACAACTCCAAGATCTGGTCCCAATGTGCTAGGGCAGTCAAGTCAATACTGCCCATAGAATGTGACCTCGCTCTTTTAAGAATATGATGTGACTATGACTTTGCTAACTTGAACCCAAGTGAGCCACAAACTCGGTAAAGTTTACTATGGGCACAAATGAAGGGAAAAGTCAGAGAGATTCAATTCATTATCTGTTGAATGTCTGCTATGTGCCCGAAACCCAGGGAAATAAAAGAAATGAAAGGTAATTTTAAGTGAAATTGGATTTTCAAACTCCAAAAAGGAAGATTAAGATGTTAAAGAAGGGGCCGGCCCCAAGGCGTAGCAGTTAAGTGCACACGTGCCGCTTCTCAGTGGCCCAGGATGCGCCGGCCAGGATCCCGGGTGAGGACATGGGCACCACTTGGCACACCACGCTGTGGTAGGCGTCCCACATAGAAAGTAGAGGAAGATGGGCACACATGTTAGCTCAGGGCCAGGCTTCCTCAGCAAAAAGAGGAGGACTGGCAGTAGTTAGCTCAGGGCTAATCTTCCTCGGGGGAAAAAAAAAAAAGATGTTAAAGAAAGCTTAACGGAAACTGAACTAATGGGTTTTGAATGATTAATAGGATTAATTAGTATGAAGAAAACAGAGAAGAGATGTAGATCAGGAAGAAGAGGAACCAGGTTTACAGAAGGAAAACAAATCTAGATGTTATTTCTTTGGTTCCTTTTGTCAAAAACTGGTGGCCCAATTTAAAATTCCTTTTGTATTTCCATGTCCAGTCATTCTGCAATGCAAACTACCTGGAGGTAAATGAAGGTAGGGGAGGTCACTGGGCAGATTTTATTTGTATTGTGGTAAAGAGAAAAGTGTGGATAGCTGTTCAAAGAATCCTTTGCTTCATAAAACAGTCCACTAAGAACAAACATCAGATCCAAGCATGCCAGCCATTAAAAATGGTGGACTAAGGGGAAGATGGCGAGAGGGGGATGAGATCTCAAAAACAGATGTTTGCTTTACCTTCAGTCCAATATTATCTTGTTTAACACGATAATCTTATTTAATCTTACTTAAATATTTTGGGAATCAATCACACATCCGTTTTGAGAATCTGGTGGTTAGGACAAGTTTTTGGCAGTACACATTATTTTTTGACTCTAAGATCACCTTAGAACTGTTAAGCAAGTTTCATACATTTACATTATTTAATTACTGAATTCATGTTTCAACAACCCAAGTAAAAGGCATATAACACCAAATAAAGAGCTGGGGCTTTTTGGGGAGAGGGGGGTTATTCTTGATTTTTGTACATCGATTTATACATTTAAGATTTTTCCCAGCTCCCAACTGCCCCTAGAGATTGAGAGTATGGATGACGTACTTGTAATGCTTTAGGATAGGGTTTTATTCTTTTCTTCTACATTGTCACCCACTCAAAGAACAAAAATGGGTAACTCCTATAAAGTCTAATTGTCTTTGAAAATCCTAGGGTTGTCATTTTAGTTGTTTCTCTCTAGCCATGAGATTAACTGTTGCTAAATTCTGAGTAGTGTTTCATGCAGTCCGTGCAGAAATACTAAATAGAAACAAAGGTAATTTTTTATCATCTTAGTTACTATTTTTCACGACCCAATCATGTGTTTCAGAATGAGGAATCAACAGACAACACTTTAGGTTCAACATGTCAACAGAGACCTCATTTACGGAGAAACGGTCGTAGTGTCGGAGAGAATTGACACTATTTCCGGACGGCCTTCCACACCCGCGAAGGGGCAGCTCAGACCCAGTGGGACGTTCACCGCCAGGCCGGGTCGGGCGAGGCGGGGCGGCGCGACCACGACCCGGGGCTGGCCCCGCTCGGTCCAGGGGCTCAGGGCGCGAAGGCCCCGGGGCCGGTCCCCCACCCGCTCCCGACGGCGTCCCGGCCAGTCCGTTCTGACGGCACGGGCGCTGCCTCCGGAGCGCGCGGAGCCACAACGGCAGTAACGGTCGCCCCGCCCGGCCCTGGGCGACTCGCGTCGTCCCAGGCCGAAGCCACGCAGATGCAGAGTGTCCCTTTACAGACGAACGCTGCCTCCCCGCGGGCTGGGCGCCCGCACCGCCACCCCCGCGTTGCTCCGGGAGGCCCGGCCCCGCCCGTCGCCGGGGTCCTCAGGCGGCGGTGTCCGCGCCCCGCCGGGCCGCAGCCTCCGGGAGCGAGCGCTCTGCCGGCGCGGGGAGGGGCCGCCGTCCGCCGCGGGCGGCCGGGAGGGGGCGGCTGGGAGCGCGGCCGACGCGCGGCAGGCGGAGCGCGGGCAGCCCGCGCCCGAGGACCCCGGCGCGGCGGGAAGCGGGAAGTTTCAAGGCGGCCTGCGGACGCGCGGCCCGGGCATGAGGCTGCACTGCGAGGTGGAGGTGGTCAGCCGGCGGCTGCCGGCCCTGGGGCTGCGGAGCCGGGGCAGGGCCGTCCGCGCCGTGCTCAGCCTCTGTCAGCGCGAGCCCCGGGGCGGCCCGCCGCGCGCCGGCCTGCTGGTCGCCACCCTGCGGGACAAGCGCGGGACCCGCTACGAGGTGCGTGCGGGCGGCCGGGCCGTCTCGGGCCCCCGGGCCTCGGCGTCTCCCCGCGGACCGAGGCGGGCGCTCCGGAGAGCGCGTCTGGCCTCAGCCTCCGAGCCCCGAGCCGCGCGCGGGAACGGCGGGAGCTGCCCGCGGGAAGTGTGGCGGGCGGCGCGCTCGGCCGGAGGGCCGGTCTCCGCGGCGTCGCCGCGCGCTGCCGTGAGGCTCCCGGGGAGGCGCGGCGTCTGACTGAGGGCGGCAGACCGGGCTCGGACTGCGGCGAAGCGGGAGTGCTCTGGGGCGGCTGATGCTTTTAGGAAAGTGGTTGGTTACTGCGTCCCTTTTGTTTTTTCCTGTCTAATTTCCCAAGGCCCGACTCTTTAGGAACGGGGCTCGTTCTTACCTGCAGAGCGGTAGACAGCTCTCTAGAAGCAGATGGAAGTCGAAATAGGACTTTTGGAGCGCGGGTTTTATCAGCCTTTCTCCCGTCACGAGCAGCACTGTGACATGTGCTCAGAATGCCTGCAGTCCCCCCGCGAGTGCTGTAAATGAAGTCGAGGGGGCAGTTGGTCGCCCACCCTCGCGTGCGCCTCGTGACGGGACTTGGTGCCGTCCCTGGGATCGTCTCCCCTGCGGCGAAGGCTCCGCGGAGCAAAGGGGCGTCCCTGCCTCTCTCAGAGACCCCAGTTGTTGGACGTCAGTAGCTGAAAGTCTCGATGGTCCACCCCCCACCCCCCGCCCCGTTCACGGAATCACTCGTGTAGTTTTTTGAGTTGAAAGGACGTCAGAAGTCACCCACCGTTTTATAGGTTGGAGAGCTGTTGGGGGACAGAAGCAAACTCATGAGTAGAATTGGGTGTCCCTTTTCTCCTCCAGTGTCTCCCCCGAAACCTCTCTCCGCCATGCCCAGCTGAGGCCTGCCTGTTTGAGAAGTCTGTGATGATCTCGCCCTTAAAGCTCCCACTGAGTGGCAGTCGTGATCAGTTTTATTGTAAACCGCTCGTTGGAGACTCACTGTGTGCAGGGTGCAGTGCTAGATACCGTGGGAGATAAACTTGATTTAGTCACTGTCCCTCCGAGACCAGAAAGGGAGAAGCAAACCACTACTTACAGTACAGGTGGGCGATGGCAGTGCTGGAAGAGAGGTCGAAGCGAGGTGAATGCTGATGGCACGGCTTGAGGAAGTTTTGTGGAGGAGCTGGTGCCACAGGGCTGGGGACGAGGAGGTGCTCAGTGATCATTTGTTGGATGAACTGAGGTGGTGTTGGTTCTGGGCCTTGAAGGGTCCTGTGACTTCAGCTACCACCCACCTGACTGTGGTTTCCAAACCTGTGTCTTTCCCCAGTCCTCTCCCTTAACTTCTGCCTTGAATCTGCTGCTTACTGGAAATCTTCCCGTGGATGTGTTGCAGCATTTCACACTCAAAATATCTAAAAATTAATTTTCCCTGCCACCCCTAAACCTGCTCTCTGACAGTGTTCTGCCCATCCAGAAACCTTTGCTTCCCCAGATCCAGTGTATTGTTGAATCCTTCCAGTTCTGCCTGCTAGGTATCTTTCAGATTCTCATACCTCCTTCCATCCCAGCTGTGGTCTAAACCACCATTATCGGTTGCCTGCCCAGTCTCTTAAGGGATCTCTCTACCTCTACCGTTGTCCTTTCCCGTCCTATTCTCCTCTCCCCCAAAGGTCAGTCTTACGCTGTGGTTAAAGGGAACTTTTCAAAATGTAGATCTAACCCTGTTCTCAACTTAAAGTCATTCAGTAGGTATCATTGTTCTTAGGATAAAATCCAAGATTCTTAACGTGATTTACAAAATCTTTCACCATCTAATCTCTGTTTACCTCTAGGCTCACCTGCCTCTTTTCACTGGATCCTTCAGCCATTCCGAACTTCTTTCAGCTCCTCACAGCTGCCGAGTTCTCTTGCCTTCAAGGCTTTGCACACACTGTTCTCTTATTGGTAGGCCATCCCCTCCCTCTTCCACCAGTATCTTCACTTGCCCAACATCTCCTAATCCTTCAGTTCTCACCTTTCAGGTCACCTTCGTACCCCCAGACCAGGTAAGATTCCTTTGCTATAAAGTCTTAGAGCAGCCTGTCTTAGTATTTGTTATGCTTACTGTTACCTGTTTAATAACTATCTCTCATCAGATTGGCAACTGTATCAGTGTAATTACCATGCTGGTCTTATTCACCACCATTGTCCCAAGCCCCCATCATAGTTCATGGTACATAGTGGCTTCTCAATAAGTAGTTGAATTGAAGTCTAAAGCAGAAACAACATCAGTCGTTAAAAATTTTGAGCACCTGTTATCTATCAGTCACTGTTCTGGCTCTGGGGATACAGTAGTGAAGAAAGGAAACAAGATTCCTGCTTTTGTGGAGTTGATAGTCTTGCAGGAGACATGCCCACTCCAGACTAACGGACTGAGACTGAGAAGGCAAGTAACTGCTATTGGCAACTCTTCCTACGGCCACATAGTTGGAATGGGAGAAGAGGAGCATTCTCCCCAAACACGGGATTCTCTTCTCAGAAGAGGAAAGAGTTACTGGGCAGATAGAATAATAGTATGTACCAGAAAATAGATAAGGAGTATAATTACCCAACTGCTAAAGAAAGCCCAACCAAACCAAAAACTTTAAAACTTAAAACCACAAAACACCCAGACTTAAGGACTAAAAGCCAAACCAAAGTCTGGCAAAGTGACTGGCACATTCTGGTTGTAATAAATATTACTGAATAACAATACCTGGTTTTGTCCTTTTTTCCTATTGGTTTTAAGCAGCTAAAGGAGAACATTGAGCAATTCTTCACCAAATTTGTGGATGAGGGGAGAGCCACTGTTCGGTTGAAGGAGCCTCCTGTGGATATCTATCTAAGTAAGGTATGGTATTAAAACATTAATGGTTAGGTTGGTTGGCTGTATTTTCTTTAAAGAAGAGGCTATTTGAACATCCTGATATTCCACATGGCTGCATAGTGGTGGACGCTGCAGGTGTGTTTGGAGAAGCGATGGCAGCCTCCCAGGCATATTTGTGTGGCTGCAAAGGACAGAGGCATTCTTGGTACGGCGGCCCAGGATGGGGAGGAAAACAGTTTGCTTCTGTGCCCAAGATGGAGCCTTAGGGTGTTCTTAGACTGGAACTCTATAAGGCAAGTGGCAGAGGTCTACATTTTGCCAGCTAAATCACAGGTTTCAAGTCTAAGTTTGGTGTAAGAAAAGAGGATAAAATCCAACTAGAACCATTTTGGGACAGGCATTTTGTTTACTATAATCATTTTTAAAACTGCATGAACCATAAGAATAAAAAATCTGTTTTCTTTGCCCTGTCTCCCCTTTTCCTCTTCCCCCTTCCCAGAGAGTAGTAGCAGCATCTTGTTCAATCTTGCGTTATTCTTAACACCAAGCCAAGTGCTTTGCAAAGATTAAAAATTCAATGACTATTTAAGGGGTTTGTATTGAATGGAATAATTTTGTCCTATCTCCTCCTGTTCTTGTGGTTTTTCATTTTCTCTTAATATTCAGCCCATCGTACTAACTCCTGCCTTCTACCTAAAGACAAACTGAGGTCTTACCAGTTAAAAAATAGAATTGACAAATTTCTGGAAAGACGAAATTGCCTCCACTTTCTTACTATCTCTTTTGACCTTTACTTTTATTCAAAACTTGTATTGAAAACACTGCCTCAGAGATTAGTGATCTTTCTATTTGCCAATCACATTGCTGTTATTTCTCATCCTTTTTGAGCTCTGTAGAATTTGACACTGATGACCACTCCCTTCTTAAAAATCTTAACTTTCTTGACATCTGTGACAGGGCACTATCCTGGCTCACCTTTGGTTTTCTCAGCCACTCCTTTGTCGCCTATCTCTGCAACCTTTTTTCTATCCCCCAAATAAAGGCTTTATTCCAGTCCTCTGCCTGTTCTCTACCATATCTGCCCTCCATTCTCACAGCTCAACCTTTGTGTGTGACTCCCAAGTCTGTAAGTCGGTACCCTCTGCTGGACCTACTTCACCCAGTCTCCAGACTTTCCTTACTCCACTTCCTGTGTACACTGGTGCCAAAATAATATTTAGCTCTTGTCATGTAATTCTCATGCTCAGAATTCTTCCATGATTTCCCACAGCCTGACCCTTCTGTCCTCCTTACGTTGACATGAAGCTCTTCTGTCATTAGCCCCCACACTGTCTTTCTAATCCTTTACTCCTCTACAAAGCTCCCACATTCCAGCCAAATACAGATGCATACTTAGTTTCCCAAACTTGCTGAAATTTCACTAGTCCTTCACATGTAAACTTCAGGAAACTTCTAAAGTATCTTGCAAGTGTTAGTTATTTTTGTTGCACATACTACTTTATTAGTGATTTCTCTTTCCAGCTGTAAGCAATCTCTCTTGCTTTTGATGTTTTCTAGCACTTTTGACAGGGCTATAGCTTTTCACAATTCCTAGTCTTTGTGAATGGCACCCCTGGGCAGTTTGCAGTGCACAGTACTATCTCAGTGGCATGGAGATTTGAGTCAATTCATCTTTAACCCAAATCTTAAGTGGAATTTTTCCATGCTTTCCTCGTTTATGGTTCTCCCTTTGAACAGTTTCATTTAGAGTTTGTCTCTCGAAATAATTCTTTTCAAAAACTTTTAAAGTTTTTTGTATCTATATTGAAATTTAGTCAGAATACTAAAAAAATTTTTACAGCTTTTTTCAATAAACGATTGCATCGTTTGCATATATAACTTTTTACAGAATTTGTTATAGGATGAATTAGCATGCATCTATTACCTAAAATGGAATTTATAATTGTACAACTTATTTTTATTTATTCAGGCCAATTCCAGCAGTTTAAAGGGTTTCCTTTCAGCTGTGCGACTGGCTCATAGAGGCTGCAAGGTTGAGACATCGCTTTCAACCCTCACCCCTGTGAAGACTTCAGAATTTGAAAAATTTAAAACAAAAATGGTTATCACATCCAAAAAGGACTATCCTCTAAGCAAAAACTTCCCATATTCTCTGGAACATCTTCAGACTTCTTATTGTGGGCTTGTCCGAGTTGATATGCGTATGCTTTGCTTAAAAAACCTGAGGAAATTAGACTTAAGTCACAACCATATAAAAAAGCTTCCAGCTACAATTGGAGACCTCATCCACCTTCAAGAACTTAACCTGAATGACAATCACTTGGAGTCATTTAGTGTAGCGTTGTGTCAGTCTACACTCCAGAAGTCACTTCGGAGTTTGGATCTCAGCAAGAACAAAATTAAGGCACTCCCTGTGCAGTTTTGCCAGCTCCGAGAACTTACAGATTTAAAACTTGATGATAATGAATTGATTCGATTTCCTTTTAAGATAGGACAACTGACAAACTTGCGTTTTTTGTCAGCGGCTCGAAATAAGCTTCCATTTTTGCCTAGTGAATTTAAAAATTTATCCCTTGAGTACTTGGATCTTTTTGGAAATACTTTCGAACAACCAGAAGTCCTTCCAGTTATAATGCTGCAGACGCCGTTAACTTTATTGGAATCTTCTGCACGGACCATATTATATAATAGGTAAGACTTTATAGTCATAAAATGTGGTACCTTTGACGGCATCCTAGTATTCTCATCATCCTCAGAATAATAGTCAAAGTTCTTAACATAGCTTATGGTGCTGTGCACAGTTAGACCGCCTGCTACATGCTCTTGCTGCTCCTCACCTCTGCTTGGAATGCTTTTCCTCCAGAAAGTCTCAGAGCTCACTTTCTCACTTCGTCAGTTCTCTGTCCAAGTGGCACCCCAGAAAGGCCTTTCCTGACCACCCTATCTATAGTTTTATACCCAATCCTCTTACAATGCTTGATGTTTTTTGTTGCTTTTTTTTTTTTAAAGATTGGCATCTGAGCTAACATCTCTTGCCAATCTTTTTTTGTTTTGTTTTGTGAGGAAGATTGTCCCTGAACTAACATCTGTGCCAATCTTCCTCTACTTTGTATATTGGACGCTGCCACAACATGGCTTGATGAGCAGTGTGTAGGTCCATGCCCAGGATCTGAAGCCATGAACCCCAGGCCGCCAAAGCAGAGTGTGCGAACCCAACCACTATGTTACCGGGCTGGCCCCCTTTGCCAATCTTTTTCTTTTTTTTCCTTCTTCTCCACAAAACCCCCCAGTACATAGTTGTATATTCTTGTTGTGGGCCCTTCTGGCTCTGCTATGTGGGATGCAGCCTCAGCATGGCCTGATGAGCGGTGCCATGTCAGCACCCAGGATCTGAGCTGGCAAAACCCTGGGCCACCGAAGTGGAGCACGTGAGCTTAACCACTCGGCCGCAAGGTAGCCCCTGCTTGATGTTTTGTCATAAAATTTATTACTTGGCATTATATATTTTTTAACATTTGTTTGTTTTCTGTCAGTTTTCCCCACTAGGAGGTAAGATCCATGAGGAGATGGACTTTATCTTATTCTCCACTGTTCCCCTAAGGTCTAAAATGTGATATCCCCTGCTTCTCTCATATTTTAGGCACTTAATGAATACTTGAATGAGTGAGTGGCATTGTTTCTCCACCTGTGGTCCCCTGGCTGACAGCATCAGCATCACCTGGGAACTTGTTAGAGATGCAAGTTCTTGAATTCCACCCCACACCTGCTGAATCAGAACCTCTGAGGGTGAGGTCCAGCTATCTGTGCTTTACTAAGTCCTCCAGTAGTTCCAATGCACTCTAAAGTGTGAGAACTCCAATCTGGCATAATGGCCAAGTGTGGTCTTTGCAGTCAGGCTTGGGTTTGATTCCTATCTTCACTCCTTAGTACAGCTTTAGCAAATTATTTATTTAGCCTATTTGATTCAGTTTTCTCATCTGGAAAACAGAAACAGTAATACCCACTTTACAGAGTTGTGAAGGTAAATGAGCTAATATAATGCCAAAGCATTTGGCACATAGTAGGACTCAGTAGCTGTTGGTTCTCTTCCCCTTGTCTTCGAATATTAACTAAAGTTGGTTTCATAAGACACTGAACTTGTTATTCATTATGTTCATGCTTCTTTCATATAGGAGTGGAAGCTAAGATGTGCATGTGGACTAAATTATTACTGAGCACCTATAAAATAGTAGGAAGACCATATTTCAAAGGAGAGATACTTAACTTTTTATGGGGGAAGAGGCTCTTTAAAAAGAAACACAAAAGTTATGGGCCTAGAAAAATGCACACATGAGTACACACATAGAATTTTGCATACAACTTTTTTTTCCCCCTTTTTCTCCCCAAAGCGCCCCCTGTATATAGTTGTATATTCTAGTTGCAGGTCCTTCTGGCTGTGCTATGTGGGATGCCACCTCAGCATGGCCTAATGAGCAATGCTAGGTCCACGCCCAGCATCCCAACTGGCGAAATCCTGGGCCAGTGAGGCGGAGCGTGAACTTAACCACTTGCCCACGGGACTGGCACCCACATACAACTTGATAATGTCCATGGACCCCACTGAAACCCAGTCCAGTCCTCCCTCCTCACCATCCTTTCTTAAGAGCTCTCATTCTAAAGCAGTGGTTCTCAAACTTTACTTCACATTTAGAATCACTTGAGGAGCTTTTAAAAATTCTGGCGATTAGTCCCCACCCCAGACTTAGTAAATCAGAATGTCTGAGAGCAGGACCAGTATTTTTGTAAATGTCCAGGTGATTCCAGAGCACAGCTAACTAGGATTCAGAACCACTGCTTTATACCAGTGCTTCTCACACTCTAATGTGCATTCCAGTCACCCAGGAGTCTCCTTAGTAGATTCTGTTTCAGATTTCTGGGGTGGAGATCCTGCACTTCAGACAAGCTCCCAGGTGAGGCTGAGGCCACTAGTCCATGAACCACGCTTCAAGGACTAAGGCTCTAAAAGTAACTAAGGACTCACTATTGTTTTAAGACGGTGATCCTCAAAACCTGAGAGTGCATCAGAATCATGCTTATTAAAGTAGGTTGCTGGTCCCCACCTTCAGAGACTCTTATTCAGTAAATCTGATGTGGGGCTGAAGAAATTGCCTCTCTGACAAGTTGATCACAAGGTGATGCTGATGCTGCTGTTCAGGGGACCACACTTTGAGAACCACTGGTTTAAGACATATTGACTCTTTTTTTTTTTTTTTTAAACATTTTATTTTTTTTCCTTTTTTCTCCCCAAAGCCCCCAGTACATAGTTGTATATTCGTTGTGGGTCCTTCTAGTTGTGGCATGTGGGACGCTGCCTCAGCGTGGTTTGATGAGCAGTGCCATGTCCACCCCCAGGCTTTGAACCAACGAAACACTGGGCCGCCTGCAGCGGAGCGTGCGAACTTAACCACTCGGCCACGGGGCCAGCCCCAAGACATTGACTCTTAACTAGGAGTTAAAAATTACCTGTTCAATGACTACCTGTAAGTGCCTAGAACAGTGCCTGGTTCATAATAGTTCTCAAAAATATTTATTAGATGTATAATTACATGTAATTTGCTTATCTGGCAATTAAAAATCAATGTTATTAGCTGTGAAGGAGCTTTTAAATAGTAGTAGATGAGAAATATAGATGCCTAGATTCTATCTCAGACCAACTAGTATCTCCAGAGATGGGCTCCTGTTCTATGCTATAGATTTAAAAAATCTCCAGAAGTGATACTGATGATCCAGATTAAGACCACTGATTTGAGGGAACTCTAAATGGTGTCTTTTGGCAAAGAGTTGCTCATGAGACTCTTATTCTATGCTTTCTCTGAGACTTACATATGAAAAACATAACATATTGTACTTATTCAAATTTGAAAATTATATCCAAATGGGAAACATTGTAAATGGTTTCTGGTGATTTGAAAAGACCATAACAAATTGGCCAGATGATCAAAAAAACACCAGACTGACATCCAACATGGAAAAGTGCAGAGTTGGAAGGAAAAAAATACATGATCAAAATGTGATATAATAGGTAAGGCAGAAAAATAATTTGTTAGTGCTGAATGATTTAGCATTGTAGTATTTATATTGTTGGCTTGTTTGGTTTTTTTTTGTGAGAAGATAGGCCCTGAGCTAACATCTGTTGCCAACCTTCCTTTTTTTGCTTGAAGAAGATTGTCCCTGAGCTAACCACTGTGGCAGTCTTCCTCTATTTTGCATATGGGACACCACCATAGCATGGCTTGATGAGCAGTGTGTAGGTCTGGGCCCAGGATCTGAACCCACAAACCCCAGGCTGCTGAAGCAGAGAGCGCAAACTTAACCACTACACCACTGGGCTGGCCGCCTGCATTGTTTTTTTAAACTTGCCCTCTATTAATATAGGTCCTCATAAGGTGACCCTAACCTTTACTAAAGTATAATTTTGCGTGTTTTCAGCCCCTTTGTTTTAAAAAGAATATAGATCCCAAACCATGAGAAGAATATCTATTCTCTAGCTGTTGGTAAATTGTCCTAAACCTACTGGTTACAAACAAAGTTATGGTCTATTAAAAAAATATGTGGGGATTTAAATTATATTAGATAGAAAATATAGTTTTTAACTATTGCCTGTTTCCTTAGACTATAATTAATAGCCTGAAAGAGATTAATGTAAATACATGGTAGACACTTCTGGCACAGTTTTTAAAAAATTGTTACTTACACAAGCAACAAATTAGTACATGTGAAAAAAAGAAAAATTACAAGCAAGGCCAATCTCAAATCCCTTACGAGAAGTAAATCTCTATTTTTGATTTGATGTGTATCTTTTCAAACTTTTCTAATAGAGTTTTAAACTCCATTTTAAATAGAGGAGTAGCTTTTATTTACTGAAAAAGATCTGAACACCTATATGTGCCAGCCTTGGCTAGGGCCTAGAGAAACAAAGAAAAGACAGTGTGTGGGAGACAGACAGTGGCTGGAGCATGGTTGTGTTTAGTGGAGAGGAGTTGGGCAGTGGGCAGGCAATCTCAAGAGCCCATCTCTTAGCGTCTCATAGATGAGGAGAAAGAGTTTGACTTGATTTTAATTGCACTGGGCACCGCTGAAGCTTTAATCAGGAGGGTGAACGATTGAAGCAAGGTGAGGTGAGCCTTACTTGCTCAGCCAGTAAAATAAAACTAATGCCCCAAACGACTCAGGTTTTAAATTTGTTTCACACAGTTTATTTGTTTCTTTATTTGTTATAATGTTTCTTCACAGATGGAACTCAGTAATTCTCCTATTACCATTATGAGAATTACATGACAGAGCTAGACATTTAAATTATCATGTTACACTGGTCATACAATATAATTATAAAGGACAGATGACTCATTCTATTCAATGGGTTATGCTATTAAATGGCAATGCTACAAGATACTTTATGAAGTGATATAGATCTACTTCGGTTTACAGTATGTCATATGCTGGTTTTTTAATGTATTTTCCCCATTCTTACCAGTTTGAAAGATAAAACATACTGAGTCAGTTGAGTAATTTTATTTTTCCCTGGTTATAATTCAGTGTCCAGTAATTCATGTCCTCATATTGTATTCCCCCTTATCAACAGTTTTGCTTTCTGCAGTTTCAGTTACCTGTGGTCAACTGTGGTCTGAATATTAAATTGAAAAGTCCAGAAATAAACAATTCATAAGTTTTAAATTGTGCGCCATTCTGATGATGAAATCTCCTGCTGACCTGCTCCTTCCACCTGGGACATGAATTATCCCCTTGTCCAGCAGATCCACACTATATGTGCCACCTGCCTGTGAGTCACTTAGTAGCCATCTGAGTTATGAGATCGACTGTCAGGTATTGCACACACAGTGCTCGTGTTCACGTCACCCTTACTTAACCCATACTTAACAATGGCCCCAAAGTGCAAGAGTGGTGTTGCTGGCAACTTGGATATGCCAAAGAGAAGCATAAAGTGCTACCTTTAAGTGAAAAGGCAAAAGTTCTCAACTTAAGGAAAGAGAAAAATTCATATGCTGAGGTTGCTAAGATCTACTTTAAGAATGAATCTTCTAGGGCTGGCCAGTGGCATAGTGGTTAAGTTCACACGCTCTGCTTTGGCAGCCTGGGGTTCGCCAGTTTGGATCCTGGGCCCAGACCTACACACCGCTCATTAAGCCATGCTGTAAGCCATGCTGTGGCAGCATCCACATGGAAGAACTAGAAGGACTTACAAGTATTATATATACCTATGATATACTTGGGCTTTGGGGAGAGAAAACAAAGAGGAAGATTGGCAACAGATGTTAGCTCAGGACCAATCTTCCTCACCAAAAAAAGAGAAAAAAAGAATGAATCTTCTAGTCATGAAATTTAAAAAAGGAAAAAGAAATTCGAGGTAGTTTTGCTGTTGCATCAAATATGTATGTATAGGAAAAAACACAGTATATATAGGTTTCGGCACTATCTGCGGTTTTAGGCATCCACTGGGGGATCTTGGAACGTATCCCCCACTGATAAGGGGGGCTACTGTATGTGAAGTTCTGCATCTAATAACATACTAAAAAATATTTTCTAAACATGTTTTTCCAATAGGATTCCGTACAGCTCTCATATCATTCCTTTCCATCTTTGCCGAGATTTGGATACTGCAAAAACCTGTGTTTGTGGAAGATTCTGTCTAAGCTGTTTTATTCAAGGAACTTCTACCATGAATCTACACTCTGTTGCTCACACTGTGGTCTTAGTAGATAACATGGGGGGTACTGAAGCGCCTGTCATCTCTTACTTCTGTTCTCTAGCCTGTTACGTAAATTCCTGTGATATGTTAAAGTAATAGGTGATAACCACAAAAAAGAAATCCCATTTAGTTACACATCACTTTGGGATTCATTTGTGGTTTAACAGTGTCAAACTGGAGAAAGGGAAGCTTTTGTATACTTGCTTGAGGGGAAGAATGTGTGTTATTCTAAAATTTTCAATCATTTGACTATAAAGTCTTAATTTCATTAAAACTTGATTACTTTCATCGTGGGGTTAACTTTTTATCAGTTTATTGCACTTGTGTTGATTTCAGCTTAGTGTTTCCAGAATGGGTTGTGGGTTATCTTTTAATGTTAAACAGATACTGATCCCAATCACTCTGGTCATAGGATTTTCTTATCAACATTCTTCCTGCATTTCAGTTAAAGAAATTGAGTTTCTGTATGCAGAAAATATACCTCAGAGGACTGTGGTCTAAATTATAGTGAAAACTTGTTTGGTATGAAACTGCATAGAAGTTTTTAGCATACCACTTTTTGTTTTTTTATGTGTATTCTATATATGGAATTTTATATTCAACAGGTATGAAGTATGAGTTGCTTTGGGACAAATGGACTTCAGCTTTTATAAGTTTTGTAATGTTAATCATATAATCTTTGTTGTGATTTCTAAGTTAATTTTTAGGGTTGGAACAAGGTTTTGGGGTTGGGTGGGAAGAGCAGAAAATTGCTACTTTTTACTGACTATATTCTGTATTATTTGAGGGTGGTTCTTTTTCTGTTTAGTCACTTGCTATGTTTAAGTTTTTTAATTTAAAAAGTGGTGGTAATACACCAGCTAAAGGAAGATGAGGCTTTGAACTAGGTCAGAGGGAAGAGAAAAGAAACTAAGTTGAAAGAATCATGGAACTTGGAGTCAGTAGACCTGTGCCATTCTGTTCTTTCCCACTACCCTTCTCCAAGCCAGCCTCCCTCCTGGATCATGGCAGTAGTCTCGGAACTGGTTCAGAAACAAGAAGGGGAAAGAGAAAGTGACAGGAGAAGTGCCTCTCCAGTGTCAGCATATCACTGCTGTTTGGGCTTGCAGCGAGGTGGAGTCTATGAAAGTTTCTTATGGTTTAACTACTACCTCCTTTTCTTCCTAAAACATTTCTTATTGGGGACATTTTTTTCTTTTCTGAAAATACAAATATTCTTGAGTAAATACTGTTTAAATGTTAGAACATTTTTATTAAAATTTTATGTATATGATCTCCAAAACATAGTTTCTTCTCAGAGCTGATTCTTTGAGACTAGGCATTGTCCAGAGGAGTAATTCTTTGGGTGACCTTACATTTGTATTACTAATGGTCAGTTAGATTCTTCCTACAAAAGATTTACATACTTTCTAGTTTTTCATTTAAGAAAATTTTATATATAGTGCACACATACCTTAAATAAAAAGAGCTGCTATTTTTCTGGTACCTACTTTGTTCCAGGTGTTTTTATATAACGTATTTTATTTAATACTCACAAATCACCCAAGGAAGGAGGTACCATGAACCCAGATCAGAGATTTTAAGCCCAGGCTTTATAGTGCCTTGTAAAGTTACTTCACTTTTGGTCTTTAAAACCAAGAATTTTGTAATTTAGTAAAATATCTTAGGATTCTCTAAACTCATAAGTTGGTGAGGGATTGCCCATAAATACTACAAACCATATCAAAATACGGTTCTTTAAAAAGTGATGTTTTTTGGCATACTTTAGTGTATCTGATTTTTACACACTCTTGTAGGAAAACAATTTCATCAACAAAGGCAAATATAATAGTCTGTGTTGGGAGTAAGTGCTGTTCCTCCTACACCACAGCCCCTTGCCTTTGCATTCTCACCACTTACCTATAAGCTATCCCCATGGAACTATCTTAGCTGACTTCAAAGTCATACGAAAAGCAGGATTTCCTGTCCTCATAACCCATACCTTTTCCCAGTTTATTTTTCCTTTCATTCGATACTCAACTTTTCTTTCTTGCCTTTCAGGTAATTGCTAGGTTCACTTCTTTAATTCTGAGTTGCAACCTTCCATCCCGTTTTCAGTTACCTCCTCAACCCTCTCAACAGTCAAAAAGTTAGAATATTTGAATACCTCCCAGTTATGTTCTAAAAGGTTCAAGAAACGGTTTATGCTGTGATGGACTCGTGGCTTTTTCACTAGCTTTAGAACTTTTTCTAGCTAGAAGTCAATTCCTGCTTTACATTCAAGACCACAGTCTAAAACAGTGCTGTCCAAAAAAACTGATGGAAATGTTCTATTACTGTGTCCTCCAGTAGGGTAGCCATTAGCCACATGTGCTGTTGAGCACTAAGTGTAGCTAGTGTAACTGAGGAACTGCATTTTCAACTTAAATAGCTACATGTGGCTAGTAGTCCCTGCTGGACACTACAATTTGTAAAAAGTCGGCTCTCCCCCCCACATGGATCCTCTGCCCCACCCAGTCTGCTATACACAGGCCTAGCTTATCCGCTTCGTGTACTTTTTAAAAAAATTGGATTGAGACCTTTCCCAGCAGTTCACTCATGACTATGAATTCACCCACCACATATATTTGAAACTGACCAGAAAAGAGTAAAGTATGTTTTTTCCCTGCTATATGATTTCTCTCCAAAACCTAGTTGTGAGGTTTGAGGTAGGACTGCTGTCTTTTTTATGTATAAATACAAAGTACCAATTCTTGTGGAACTAAATTTAAATGACAAATTGAGAAAAGGCTAAACCTTAATTCACTTACAAATAATTTACTGTTATTTCCTTAATTTAGAACCACATTAAGCATGTGATTATATTTTTAAAAACACAAAAGACTTGGGCAAGATTCTCACTTTATTTTCATACAGGTAATCTTCCTATGGCGTCAACATTTTCCTCTCAGAAATAAAAGCAGAGGAATCCCAAGGCTTAGAACTGGATCACTTGGCCCTTCCTCTTCTTGTCTCCTCCCAGTTCGAAATGCTTGCACCTCTTAATGGCCAGCATCCTCTTGGACCTGCAGTTAGGGTCCACGCACTCGAGCCTCAGCACGATCTTCTTGGTGGTCTTGGCCTTCTTCCGGAAGATGGGCTTCGTCTGCCCGCCGTAGCCGCTCTGCTTGCGGTCGTAGCGCCTCTTGCCCTGCGCGTACAGCGAGTCCTTGCCCTTCTTGTACTGGGTCACTTTGTGCGGCTGGTGCTTCCCACACTTCTTACAGAAAGTCCTTCGCGTTTTAGGGACGTTGACCATCTTTGCAGTAGGGCTGTCCACACGATGAAAACTAGTGAGAGACTTAAAATACGGCAGCGGACGTTAAGCGTTTGAAAAGTAACGGTCCACGCAAATATCTGGCGAAAGTATCACTACGTGAGCCAGTAAGGAATGAACGCACCCAGCGCTCCCGTTCCACGCGCGTTCGCACACCTCGGGACGAGCCACCGGCGCGTCAACAGAGCGGCCGCCGGCAGGCAGAGAGGCCGGGCTCGCTTCCTGCCGGCCCCGGGCGCCGCGCACGGCCCCGCCCCGCTCGCCCACCGGCCGCCCCGACCGCCCGTCCCGGTGGCCGCGTCGCCCGCGCCCGAAGCTGACGTGTCCTTACGAGCGCTCCGGGCGCCGCCGCCATGCGGGGGCCCCTCTTGAGGGAGAAGCCCTCCCGAACCACCGGCTAGTGCGGCGGCCGCCCTCCCTTCCCCACGAGGGCCCGTGCGTAACCGACCCCGCGCCATGTCTCCCGCGGGCCCCGACGCCCCCGCCTCAGCTCACCGGTACGCGCTCACCCGGACCCGCTCCCCGCACCGCACGCGCCTCGGCGGAAGGAAGCAGGAAGCGGAAGTGGGCTCCGAACCTGAGCGACAGGCCGGCGGGCCAATAGGCGTCTCCGACGTGTCCGGGCGGCGCCGACCGCCGCTCCGAGGGGCGGGCCGAGGGGTGTGGCCGGAGCCGCGGCGCCGGCGGGCCAGTCGCGGGGTCGGACGGCGGCCGGAACGGGAGGCCGCGGCGCGGGGTCTGGCCGCTGGCCGCCGAGGATGAGCGTGCGGAGGACGCGGGGCCGCGGGCGGCGCAGGTAACGGCACGGGAGCGGCGGGCTGGTGCGGCCGCGCGGATGGAGGGGGCCGGGGCCGGGGCGACGGCGGGCCGCGGCTGCTAGCGCGGGCCGAGCGGCATGAGCCGAGCGCGGGCGGCGCGGTGAGCGGAGCCCGGCCGCGCCGCCTGAGCAGACCGTCCCCGCCCGCCCGCCCGCCGGGACCATGCGGCTGCGCGTCTACAAGCGGAAGGTGCTGGGCCTGGCGCTCGCGCTGGCCGCCTGCGGCGTGGTGCTCTGGAGCAGCGCCGGCCGCCGCCGGAAGAGCGAGGCCCCGCCGCCGCCGGACGCCGAGCCAGCGCGCGCCGCCAGCCGCGGGGACCGCCCCGAGCCCGCGGGCGCCCGCCGGGCCGCCAACGACTCGGCCGCGCCGCCCGTGCCCGGCGCGCCGCAGCCCGAGGCGGACAACCTGACGCTGCGCTACCGCGCGCTGGTGTACCAGCGCAACTTCGACCAGCCGCTGCGCAACGCGGGCCGCGCCGGCGCCTGGGCGCCCCGCGAGCTGGTGCTGGTGGTGCAGGTGCACGACCGGCCCGAGTACCTGAGCCTGCTGCTGGACTCGCTGCGCAGGGCGCGCGGCATCGGCGACGTGCTCGTCATCTTCAGCCACGACGTCTGGTCGGCCGAGATCAACCGGCTGATCGCCGCGGTGGACTTCTGCCCGGTCCTGCAGGTCTTCTTTCCTTTCAGCATCCAGCTGTACCCCCACGAGTTTCCGGGCAGCGACCCCCGGGACTGCCCCAGGGACCTGGAGAAGAAGGCGGCTCTGAGGATGGGGTGCATTAACGCCGAGTACCCCGACTCCTTCGGCCACTACCGGGAGGCCACGTTCTCCCAAACCAAACACCATTGGTGGTGGAAGCTGCACTTTGTGTGGGAAAGGGTCAAGGTCCTCCGAGACTATGCTGGCCTCATACTTTTCCTGGAGGAGGATCACTACTTAGCCCCGGACTTTTACCACGTCTTCAAAAAGATGTGGAAGCTAAAGCAGCAAGAGTGTCCTGAGTGTGACGTGCTGTCCCTGGGGACCTATACTGCCATTCGCAGCTTCCACGGCATTGCTGACAAGGTGGACGTGAAAACTTGGAAATCCACAGAGCACAATATGGGTCTAGCCTTGACCCGGGATGCTTATCAGAAGCTCATCGAGTGCACAGACGCTTTCTGTACTTACGATGATTATAACTGGGACTGGACTCTTCAGTATTTGACTGTATCTTGTCTTCCAAAATCCTGGAAAGTACTGGTTCCTCAAGCTCCTAGGATTTTTCATGCAGGAGACTGTGGTATGCACCACAAGAAAGCCTGCAGACCGTCCACCCAGAGTGCCCAAATCGAGTCACTCTTAAATAATAACAAACAGTACCTGTTTCCAGAAACTCTAGTTGTCAGTGAGAAGTTTGTGGCAGCCGTTGCCCCACCTAGGAAAAATGGAGGGTGGGGAGATATTAGGGACCATGAACTCTGTAAAAGTTATAGGAGACTGCAGTGAAATATCACAAGTACAAAGCAAAAGTGACAGTCTTCTATTTTTGATATTTGCCCAAACGTACAATTGAATAAAAGGGTTTAGGAACTGGTTTCTGCTTTAATACAAAAAAAAAATAATTCTTGTAAAAGGTGTCCAATGTATTAATCTTTTCCTTTTATGTCTGATTAAGATTTAAAACACAGGTTTTCATTTTGCGAGTTGGGTTTTAAAGCTCAGCTGTATCTGCTAAAGGTAATCATTGTTAATGGGGGGATTTTATTTAAATTGCATCTATTAATCTTTTTATCTGGAACTTTGTACACTTTTCCACTTTCAAAACTTATTTTAAGTACAGCAAAATTTATTTAAAATTGTCATAGCAGTAAAAAGTATTCAAATGAAATTGTTAGAGTATTAATGGGACAAGCCCAGTCTCACTCTTGACACAGCTACTAGGAAGGGGTTGCTTCACTGGCTGTTAAACACCCTGTCGGAACAGTCATTTTCAGTATTACGGATTCCTCTGTTAAGATTTGCCTGTGCTTTGGAACCTTCATAGAACATACTTTCTTTTGGAATGTATTTGATTGATCAGAGAGTTTAAACACTGTTTTCACCTCAATGTAGAAATACAGTTGTGTTTTTTTTCCTTTAGTGCTGCCAAAATAAATACTCATTTTTGCATAAAAAGATTCCTAATCATTTTGTAGAATAAATTGTTTACACCAAAATTCAGTAAAGGCATTCTAGGAGTTTTAAAATTACATTTTCATATTTACTATTTGTACATTGTGTAACTGAGTCTGAAATAAAGAAAACCCAGCAATTGACGATGCATTATTCCCTTTGGAAGAAACTGGCTTTCAGATTAGCCAGGCATAGATAATGAACAGTAAAAGCTGCTGTGTAAGTGAAATACAGCCTGAATTGTTTTCGAAAGCCAGAAATGATACAAAGTTCAGTCATTCCGAAGTGAAACATGTTCTAGTGCCAGCTTTATTTTAACTGAAATCATACTTATTTAAAGGACAAACAGTAAATAATAGGAAAGTCTTTAATTTACTCCATACTTAACAAAGAAGTTTTTCTTAACGGTGAATAATTCCATTCAACGAGAAATTATTCAGACTAATTTCTGTGTAGATACTACAATTTGTCATTTCAGTCTAAGAAAATGGTGTATTAAATTGACAGTCTCAAAATTATTGCATCAAACCAAGATTCCTGTTAGGATTGAAAAGTGCATCCTGTCATCTAAGGTGAAGCGAATAGTTCTCTGGCTTGATGAGCTGCGTTTGTTCTGCTTTTGGTGCTCTGATCTGACCTCCCCAGTTTGAAGGACAATTAGGTAGTTTCCAGGACTGAGGTAAGACCAGAGGTTTGAATTAGTAGCCATTTTTGGAATGGAAATAGATCAGCTCCACGGCGTTGGGGTCAGGAATTAGATCAAATATTTTTCTTTCTAAATTTTCCTTCATGCTGTACTAAAAATTTTTGTGAGAAAAAATCTATTAGAATTTTCTCCTGGCCACAAATAAAAATACTGTTCCACAAAATTAATAACTTAGCCACTGTTAGATACATCATCTGCTGCCCTCTTATAGATGTTACAGAAAAAAATTATTAGAAAACACCAGCTTTTTTTTGTTGTTTTCATGTAACAAATATAATGAAGACAATTTTCCTATGGGAGCAAATTCCCAGATATTTTTATTGTTCTGTTCTAAAATTCATGAATATATTTTATAAAACTAAAAGATATTTTAATACTATGACAGCAACTTCCAAAAAACTCAATTTTCAAAGTCATTACTAAATAACCTGTATTATGCCTATATTTTGTGTGACAGAAAAGTAAAATACAGAGTTGAGGCAAAAATACTAAATTTCACTCACTGTATTTGTATTGTAATTGTTTGGATCGTTAATATTGGTTAGTAAGTTCTTTCCTCTCTAAGAACCTGTTTCAGGCCTAAGTACCTCCTATTCAGTGAGATTTATATATAGTTTTGAGATTCTACCGCCCCCCCACACACACATTTATATTCCTAGTTAATTGCATTCTTGGTAATTACTTTTTGTGACAGATACAACTTAGTGAATATTTTGAAATTTTATTAAAATTGTAAAAGAAGCCAAAAATAAGACAGAAGTAAATATATACAGGTTATATTAAAACTAAATGTTTAATTCTCCGTTAGAAAAAATACACCTCTATCAGAGAAATCACAAAACTTATCTCCATAATTAAGGAAGCTTTGTATAAATTCTCTACATGCAAAAAAAATATCTCCAGCTTCCCCATTAGAATCAAAATTGCAAATTTTAATTTTATACTTCGTTGTTTACCTTCAGTTTGAAGACAGTAGTTAACAGAAAGAATCTAAGTCCAACACTTTTTTACTCTTAACCTTTAAGTTCCAAAATTATATAGAATTAATCCAAGTCATATAGCAGAGAGTTCTGAAAACTGAATGCACAGTGAGTCACATGATCTTTAATAATCTGCACACTACCATCCTGCATATTGGTTTCTTTTATGTTGTCAAAACCAGATCCACTGTGAACCGTGGTTTTGTTCAGTAATGAAGACAGGTGATCATCTAACAACTCCTCTTCAGTTGTTACTGGTTCTTTTAAATTATCTTTTTCCTCATTTGAGTAAACAGCACGTTTTTCTTTTATAAATTCAGGTTCCATTTTTGATTCGGACTGCTCAGACTTTCCAAGTGACATTTTAGAAATATCGAGAGACTCTTGTTGCAAGTGTGCAGCCGAACCACAACTGTCTGTTTCTAGTACTTGAACTGCTCCAGATGAATCAGCAGACTCGCTGGGGAAGCTGGTAGAATGTTCTGTACTTTCTTTTTCAGTAAGATGACTTCCTTCGTTGACTGTTTCTTCATTTTCATGAAGCTGCTCAGAGTTACTACATTCTTGCAACTGTGTCAAGGGAAACAACAAATTAATAATTCTTTCAAACAAATAGAAAATTAAATTGTAGTACCCTCTGAAAATAAGATATTTTTTTAAAAAAGTTGTGAGGGAATAATTTGCCAGCCTGCCAACAGGCTTCCTCCGGCTCCCCTCAAAGCTGTCCTCCAGGTGCTGCCAGTCACTGCTTAGTGCAAACCTGGCGCTCCTCAGATTAAATCCTTCCAGTGACTCCTCGTCTCCTTCAGGATAAAATCATCCTGGCCTACAAACCCTTCAGCAGTCATTCTTAGAAGGGCATTCTTGAATTTCTCTGATTCTTCAGAGCCACTCTCCCCTCCAATTTATATAGAAGTGTTGGTTACTGAATTATTTCTGTGTCCAATATCGAAGACTATAAAAATAACCAAACTGGGGCCAGCCCCATGGCCTAGTGGTTAAGTTCGGTGCTCTCTGCTTCACTGGCCTCTGTTCGGTTCCTGGGCATGGACCTCCACCACTTGTTACAGCCATGCAGTGGCTGTAACCCACATACAAGATAGAGGAAGACGGGCACAGATGTTAGCTCAGGGCAGATCTTCCTCAGCAAAAACAAACCACAGAAAACCAAACTTAAGGTTTAACTAGAAAGAATGAACAAACTGTATGACATAGTTGCCATGGTTTGAGAGTCACAAAGACTCAAACTCCCAAATGTTAGTTTCTCTCTATCCTTCATTGGACAGTTATTTGGAGATTAAATGAGATAATGTGAAAATGAATTGCGGAGTGTGTAGGGCTTAGTGCAATACATACAAAGAAGTCTTTACTCCTCTTAACCTCACTCTTCTCAGCCATTATGTACATTTAAAGTTACTACATCAAAAAATCGGGAATTAAGTTATTTATTAGGGTTTAACGTTGTCCTACATCACTACTCAAAGCCAAGCAAGTCCTTACCTTTGCATGAATCTGAATCTTACTATCAGTAACCTGAAGAACTTCGATCAATGGTGGGGTTAGGGGCTCCGTCCACGTGGATGGAGAGCTGAGGACTTCTTCAAGAACTTCATTAACATTTTCTTCATTGACAAACAACCTTTCCTAAAATAAAAAGAGAAAAAATGTTCTGCCTTATAGGTCATACTTGACACAGTTCTATCTAAAAACAGCTCATAAAAGTTCTCTCACAGTTCAGGATTACACTTTTTAAATTTGTTTAATGTTATTCCTGTGCTGTCTTGGCAAAAGAAATACATTCTTTGTGAGTATTGTACAGAGCAATAAGAATAGCAAGCCCACACACACAGATAGGAAGAGACCCGAAAAGAAAAAAGTCTCAGTTCCTTTTCTAGGTCTCTATTAAATTGGAGGTATGTTTTCTCTCCTAGATAATCTTACTTACAAATGACGTTTTCTTTTCCTTTTTCTCTCTTAATATTTTATAAAAATATCACCTTTAGGGCTATAAATACAGTCCCAGCTATAAAATAATTCGATTTTACAACTCTTCCTAATGAGTCCGCTATGAAATATACATGACAGGATCCATTCAAATTGTGTGTGACCAGGTAAGAGCCCAGTTTAATATTGAAGACAAGTATATTCTATTTTTAAGCATTGAGATAGTCCAGTGTGACACTAGCATATAGCTATTTATAAGAATGAGGTAGATTTCAAGACACTGACACGGAAAGATTTCCAAAGTACTGTTAGGAAATGCAAAAATCACTTTCACCAGAATCCCAGACACAAAGCAGTGTGTTCATACTCATGTCAAGTGAATACAGGTTTACTGTTAGGATGTTGAAGGAATAACTGTGTTTAAAATTCATAAAATCAGTTCATTGTTGCGCAAAATAAAAGTATTTTCCTCTGTACTTTCATATACACAAATTTTATAATTACAAATAAACACAGTTCATTATTTGGTCGAAATGAGGGGGGAATCAGAAAGAGAAGTTTTAAGCTCGCTTGTAGTACACATTATTTACGTGTGAACCAGTTTACAACTACCAAACAAAAGTGAACCTTGGGAACAGAAAAATGTTACATTTGGAGTAATCTGCCTTGCTATTATTTGAAGATCCAGAATAATACTGTATTATAGAAACACCCCTATCAAAAGCATTTCTAAGGTTCATGTCTCTGAAAAAGAAACACGCGTTAATTGCAAAAAATACTCCAAATAGTTTAGTCTTTAGTTAAGCCAAGGAAGAAAAATATTTATAATGGAAATGGTTATGATTAAAATACAAAGGATTTGCATAAACTTGCCTTCTCATTCTATAATGAGTGATTTTACTATAAAAGACACTGAATTCAGTGGTCCTAAAACTCTAGGAAAATTCCCAATGGATATTTAAGGCTTATATAAATACATTTTATACTGGTTTATGTGTAAAATAACAATTTTGACCTTGATAATCACAAATGTCTTTATAATTATTTTCATATAACGCATATAATATAATCATTATATATTATTTGTCTGCCCACCTACTACTCTTGTGATTTTTTAAAAATTTACTTTAAATGGATGGACCTTGAGGGTATTATGTTAAGTGAAATAAGCCAGATAGAGAAAGGCGAACTCTGTATGACTCCACTCATAGGTGGAAGTTGAACATAGAGACAAAGAGAACTGATTGGTGGTTACCAGGGGAAAGGGGGGATGGGGGGAGGGCACAAAGGGTGAAGTGGTGTACCTACAACATGACTAACAATAATGTACAACTGAAATTTCACAAAGTTATAAACTATCATAATCTTAATAAAAAGTTTTAAAAAAATGTAAATATATACACACACACAAAATTTACTTGAATCCTTAGAGCCTCGCCCAGAGAAATATAAAGAAAAAACTTGAACACTGTGATTCTTTCAGCTTAGCAAATGTGATGATTAATGAATTATAAATTTATTTCAGGCATCAGATATAAAACACAGTTGCCCTAATCCCGTTTTTGTCTAGTTTCTGTTAAAATGTTAGCATACTAGAAAATCAGATTAAAATATATTCTTTAGTATTCTCTCAACTGCTGTCAGTGGAGCTTTCTTCCCACATTGTGAGTTATTTTCACATTTATTTAAGACAATTACAGGAAAATGACTGCCCTTTCCTAAACTTCTCCCTTCTGATGACATAAACAGATAGTCAGTTTCATATTTTATATTCTCACTAAGTATCTTACCCAGTCCTGGCAATTTATTTTACCATTTTTGGAGGATTTCAAATTAACCACTTCTCATAGAAGATACCCCTCATAAAATATAAATGTAACTTATTAGCAAATTTCTAGAAAAACAATGGGAAGAAGCGAAAATTTCTGGCAGGTTAAAGCCAAAGGCCAAAACCTTAATTTTTAATATATAATCTGTGCAACTAGCATTTCTGAGAATTTAACCCTTGGATATGTTAAAAGAGCTAAAAAGAAATTACATGTAACTGATACAAACATCAATCAAAACCACCAATTAAAAGTTCATTTGAGATTAAAACGTTCTTTAGCGCTTCAAATTTTAAGTAGTTTTTTTCAATATTTGCCACTAGTACTGGCGTACTGAATCTGCATTTCAAGAACCTCAATAACCTAAAAAGTATAGCAGCAACTACAACAGGACACACTGAATTATTCAGCCGAATTACACCCTAACTGGGTCACGCGCAGCCCCGATTCTAGAGGATTCGCCCAGAAGAGGCGCAGCTGCTGCTGCTGCTGTTCAGTTTAACAACTACGTGTATCACACTTCGTTACATGCCAGCCATTGTGCCAAATACTAGTAGGGACCTAAAGATAGAACGCCCACCGTCAGCGACTACAAGGTCCGCAGTACGGCCCAGAGCACAGGGACTTAGTTCACCCCTGGGTCCGAGTTCGTCTCCCGCGCGAGAACGGTGCGGCGCCCGCTAGGGTACTTTGCTCTCCGGAAGTAGATTATCACTGACCTCCTAAGGTCGGAAAAAGTTATTTACCCACTTAGAATATGGCCATAACAGAGTGCCTCCTGAACCCAGGTGGGTCACAAAGCCCTCAGAGAGTATGACGGAAGAGACGCCCTTCTCGCCCGAGGACAGCACCCGACTTCCCGCCCACAGCGGCGGCGGCCTGGCCCGGGGCTGCTCCCGCGCTCCCTCAGGGCGGCAGACTCCGGAGGGGACAGCGCTGGAAGGGCGGCTCCCAAGACGCGAGACCCGCCCCGCGGGGATGCATGCCGCCGCGCGTCGGCACGTGCAGCAACTGCGAGGCCTCGCCAGAGGAGCCACGGCGGAGAGGCTGTGTTGAGGACAAACGGAGGATGGCCCTAACGGCCAGCAAAGTGGGACGGGATACTACCAACGCCGACTCTAGAAAGGACGGTTACCTCCAAGGAGCCGCCGTGTGGGCCGTAATACCACTCCCTCCAGGGCCCGCGGCAGCCCGGAGCCTTGGCCAGCTCGATCACCGCGTTGTGCGGGGAGACGCTGACCGCGGGCGCCCTGCAGCTCAGCTGGTTCTCCGGAGCAAAGCGCAGGGAGAAAGCGTAGGAACCCAGGTCTTGGGTGGAGAAGCGCAACTGGTACCCGACGGGGCTCAGGTCCCCTTGCAGACTCTGCGGCTGGATCCGAGGCACCTGCACCAGCAGAGTCAGGGACTCCTCGTCCTGCCTGCACCGCGAAGGGGGACACACGGGCTCCCGGCGGGCGGCCCCAGGACCACCCATGGCTTCACCGCGAGGGTCCCCGCGTGCGCCCCCTGCTCCTGCACCAGGGCCCCTGCCCGGGGACCCGGCTGAAGTGCCCGGGAGGCTCCCTGCTCCGGGGGGCGGCTCCTCCCCGACGGCCGCAGTCCACACCGCTCGCTCGCCCGGGCCCCGCTCCTCCCACTGCTGCTCCCGCTCCTCCTCCTCCCCACGCCGTTCCCCCCGCTGCTCCTCCTCCGGCTGTTCCTCCTCCCGGCGCTCCGGCTCTTCCTTCTCCCGCTCCTCCTCCTCCCCACGCCGTTCCCCCCGCTGCTCCTCCTCCGGCTCCTCCTCCTCCCGATGGTCCCGCTCCTCCTGCCGCTCCTCTGCTCGCTGCTCCCGCTCCTCCTCCTCCTCTCGCTGCTTCTCCTCCCCCCGCTCCTCCTCCCGCCGCTCCAGCTCTCCCTCCTCCCGATCCTTCCTCTCCCGCCTCCCCTCCTCCTCCTCCGGTGCCTCCTCCTCCTCTTCCCTCTCCCGCTGCTCCGGCCCCGGGCCGTCAGTTCCGGGCGCGCGGGCGGGCTCTTCCGGCGCCGCGGGGCGCGGGGCGGGGCGCACGACGGGCAGCGTGAGCAGCAGCTGCCGGCGGGCTCGGTGGAACTGCGCAGTGCCGCGGCTGTCGTCCACGGGGTAAGGGAGCGAGAGGCGCAGGCGGTAGTCGGGGGCCCTCGAGTCCAGGCACAGCAGCCTCCCCGTCACCTCCAGCGCCACCTGCTCGGCCGAGCGCAGCAGCGGCAGCTCGATGGTGACCACCAGCTCGTGCGGCACGGGCCCGGGGGCCGAGTCGCGGGCGCAGCGGTAGTCCTGCAGGTCCACGTGGTGGCGCTGCACCACGCTGTAGCGGGGCTCGGTGGGCGCGCGCGGCGGGCCGGCGGCCGGAGGGGCGGGCGCGGGGGGCCGGGCGGCCGGGCGCGGGGCCGGGGGCGGGTAGGGGTAGGGCAGGCCGGGGAGAGGGCCCTCCGGCTCCCCCTCGGGCCGCGCCGGGCCGGCCCCGGGCAGGGGCGCGCGTAGCACGGCGGCCTCCGGGGTGCCCTTGTACTTGATCTTGAGCGTCTTGGCGTTGGTGCGGTCCACTCTCACGCCCCACTGCGTCTCCACGGCGTCCAGGGCCGCGTCGTCCAGCATGCGGCGGAAGCGCTCGTGGCGCCGGGCCAGCGCGAGCGCGCGCGGGTGGAAGACCACGTCGTAGACGGTGTAGCGGCCGCCGCGGCGCCCCAGGTACTCGCGGCCCGGCGCCAGGCTGTAGGGCAGCGACCAGTGGCCGTCCGGCCGGCCGCGGGGCGCGTCCACCAGCGCGTTGCTGCACACGTTCACGAAGCCGCGCCGCGCCCCGTCCAGGCTGGTGCGCAGCACGTGGCCCGGCTCCGGGTGCACGAACCGCACGTCCACGCCGCGCTCCCGCTCCAGCGCCGTGATCTCCGCCTCGTAGCGCCGCCGGTTGTCGGGGTCCGTGAGCTCCTCGGCGTAGTCGGAGAACAGTCTGCGGAACTCCGGGTCCCGGAAGGCCGAGGTGAGCCGCTGGACCTCCTCTGCGCTCAGGTCCAAGTCCTCCAGCGCCGAAGAGGCTGCCGCCCTGGCCATGCTGCCCGCGGCTCCAGCCCAGAGGCCACCGGAGACCGGTCCGGGACCGGGGCGTGGGACGCGCCGCGCAGCCGCCGGTGCGGAGAGTGCGGTGGGCGGTTGCGGAACCGGCCGGGAGTTGAGCGTGGGCCGCGCGTGCTGGTTGCCCTGGTGACACCGGCAGCACCCTGGAGAGAGGAGGGGCAGGAGGCGGAGAGGGATGGTGGAAATGCCAGAATAGCCTTGGTAGAACTTCAGACCGCAGCTACCCTGCATCCCGCGGTTTTAGATTCTTGTGCCGTGGTGCAGTTACTCCTGCAGAATAACCATCTTCATAATTGTCCTAATTTTCGGCCTTGTTCACAACGCTTCAGGGTGGATCTGATCCCCATTTCACAGACAAGATGGGACCTGAGAAGTTACTAAGGTCTCGCAGCTAGTGTATTCACAAGCTGGGGTTCAAGCTGAGATTTTTTTGCTTTTTTCACGTTGTTAAGCCAACATTTCAGTTTTCTGGATATTTCACCATACAGTTTGCCTTGCAACAACTCTCTCTTGGAGCAAGAGATAGAGGCACGGTGTTCATAAATAACCAGTGATCGATAAACATATGACTTTACTAATAATAAAATACAAATGTAAGATAGCACATAGCACCTATCCAAATGGTAAAAGCCGTTTTTACAGTCACATGCTGTGCATCCTTGGGGTGGTGCTAGAAGTTAGGAAAACCTTTCTAGAGACTAGATTGGTAGCTATAGCACAAGCATTTAGAATGTAATACTTCTTTGATCCAGCAATTCCAACTCCAAGAGCATGCTCAAGGCAGTTATCTCTGATGCTAAAGGTTGGGGAAGAAGCTAAGAATTCAGCAGGGGGACTGGTTGAGCAGATTTTGGTACAGCCATGCAAAGGGGATTCTATGCAGCCACTCAGAGTGACGTTGTAGAAGTATATTTATTGACCGGAGTAGTTGTTAAATCCAGTGATGATTTTTCTCTGGTCATTTTGTTGAAACTCGCAGCAACATTTAACACAATTGATGTTGGCATTTCCTCAGTGACAAGACACTGTGCAGGTTTCTCTCCTAATTCATCAGACATTGATGCTGCATAGTCTGCTTTCCAAGTGTTTACCTCTGTTCACCTAAGTGGACATGCCTGGAGGCTGCAACCCCATCTCTTCTCCATATAAACTCCAGACTCCTATATCCAGCTGCCCATTTGAAATCTCCATTAACGCTTAAGCTCCTCAGGCATGAAATGACCAAAATTAGAACTCCTGACTCCTTTCCTTTCCCAGCTTCTGCCCTCATCTTAGGATCTCTTGGCAGCATGCAAAGCAGCTGATTGTCCCCCTTGAGACACATTTTTCTCAGTTTATGGAACTCCATGCTTCCCATTTTCCTCCTCCTTTACTTGCTCCTCTTCTGCCCCTGCTCTAAATGTAGGAGTCACCCAAGCCTTGTTCATCAGCCCTCTTATCCTATTTCCTCCAAGATGATCTTATTCAGGCCCACAGCTTTAAATGCCACCCATGCTCAGATTCGTTCTTTCAACAGATATTTACGGCACACTTGCTGCACCTGCTATATAGGTAGGTAAGGAAGGAACAGAACTGGCACCGGAACAGAAGACGATCGCTGTGCTCTAAGAATGCACAGCAACTGGCGCTCTCAGATGCTGGAAGTATATACTGGGTCAGTCCCTTTGGAAAACTGCTATTGAATCTAATGTATACCTTATGACTAAGAAATTCTACTAGATATACACCCAACAGAAATGCATACATATCTCTATCAAAAGACATATACTAGAATTTGTCTATTCATACAGCTCTATTTGTAATACACAAATGGTGGAAACTACCCAAATTCCCATCAATAGTACAGTGAATAAATAAATTGTGTGTATCCACACAATGGACAAGAATGAACAATGTGGATGAGTCACTAACATTGTGTGAAAGAAAACAGGTGCAAAATAATACATAGCATACAATTCCATTATGTAACAGACAAAACTTAGTAAAAATAAGCCACACTGTGAGAAGTCAGGCTAGTGACTGTCCTGTCGAGGGGCGTGGGGTGTGGTGATGAGCCAGGGAAGGAGAGAGCTGCTGGGGAGAGGGCACCGTTCTGTTTCAATCTTGGTAACAGGGTGCGCAGTTTGTGAAAATTCATTGAACTGTGTCCTGACCATAGGGGACTTTTACGTATATATCTCATACTTCAATTTAAAAGTTTTTAAATGTATCTGTAAAAAAATCTTTGCCTTCATGGATGTCATGTGGGATGAGACTAGTGACTCCAAAATTTTATCTCTAGTCGTACCTGACTACTGAGCTCTAGACTCATGCCACTGCCTGCCAGATACCTCTGCCTGGATGTCTGATCGACATCTCCAAACAGAAATCTTGATTTTCCCCTCTCAAATCTGTTATTTCCCCAGACTCAGTACTGTCTGCCCAGCTTAAATCTTAAGTGTAATCCTTGATTCCTCTTTGCCCGACCCCGCACTGCCATTCAGTTACCAGGTCCTGTCGTCTCTCCTTACACTCCCCAAATATATCCACTTCTTTCCAGGTCTCGTCTTGACCACATCGTCTCCGGCACAGACTTCTGCAATAGCTTCCTGACTGGTCTCTCCAGCTCTTCTCATCTTACGGCCTCTTCTCCACACACTACGCTAGTTTTAGTGACCTTAAAACCAGATCTGCTCAACACCTTCCTGTCGCCTCACATCCACATTCCTTACTGTCTCTGCAAGGCCCGTCATGCCTGGATCTCTAACCCTCTCTGTACTTGCCACCGAATTTTCTCCCTGGATCATTAGACTTCATTCTCGATGGCAGAACACTCATTGCTCATGTGCAGCCTGCGCACGGGCTCTTGAATCTCAAGAACTTAAATGTCACCTTAGTGACTCCTTGTGACGTATTAGGCCCTCAGATATCTAACGAATGAGTATAGTACAGTACAGAAAAAAGCAAGTTTAATATGTATACTATGATCCCAAAGTATTTTTTTTTTTTAAGGAAGATTAGCCCTGAGCTAACTGCTGCCAAGCCTCCTCTTTTTGCTGAGGAACACTGGCCCTGAGCTAACATCTGTGCCCATCTTCCTCTACTTTATATGTGGACGCCTGCCACAGCATGGCATGCCAAGTGGTGCCATGTCCACACCCGGGATCCGAACCGGCAAACCCAGGCGGCCGAGAAGTGGAACATATGAACTTAACCGCTGCGCCACCAGGCCGGCCCCTATCCCAAAGTATTTTTAAGGAAAAAATGTACACATAGAGAAAAATTTAGAAGGACATATACCAAAATATTAACAGATGATCTCTGGTGGTGGAATTGCTGGTCACTAAACATCTTTTCGGAGCCAGCCGTGATGGCCTAGTGGTTAAGGCTTGGCATCCTCCACTTAGGCGGCCCAGGTTTGGTTCTGGGGACAGCTTCACACCCCTGGTCTGTCCTTAGCCATGGTGTGGCAGCTGGTCACATAGAAGGACTTAAAGCCATGTACTGGGGCTTTTGGGAGGAAAAAAGGATTTTTTTCTTTATGATTATTTGTATTTCCTGGTTTTTCTACTATGAACTTGTTTAATAAAAAGTTTTAAAATACGTCATGAATTAGGTCTTAAAGGTTTACATGTGAAATAGTTTGGAGGCATAGAGATGAGTTCGACAAGATCTTCACAGCTTGTGAGGGATGTATAAAATTGCACCCTTTCCTATTATAACCCTTATGTCAACGAACATACTCAACAATGAGTTGTCAACTTAAGTTACCTTTGTAACTTCAGAATTCTGGACATGATTCATCTTAAAAAGGTATTTGCAAACATGAGCACATCATACTACTCAAATGACAACAGACCACACCTAGTTGGAAAGGAGAAGGGCCTTCACAGTTCCTGAACCCTCTAATTATGTGTAGGGGGTAGGCTCATCTATGTGGATTTTTCTGAGTAGAGGGCCCTTAACTTCCATTAGATCCTCTCAGAAGGGTCCATGCCCTCCACCTTGCCAAATTTCTCACCATGTGACAGTCCCTTTCCCAGAACCTCTTTGGGAAAAGACATTGGAGTTGTGGAAAAGCCCAGTGGCCAAAACAAATTCTCTCTTGCCTAAAATCCATTCACTGAGGAAAGACTACCCTTATTAAAATATGAATGCCCTTTGTGGGGGGAAGGACTGAGCATTAGGGCCATTATCATTTATTTTAAAAAATTATTTGCATTTGTTTTTTTATGGAGGTAACATTGGTTCATAACATTATATAAATTTCAGGTGTATGTCATATTTCAATTTCTGTGGACTACATCATGTTTACCACCTGAAGACTGCTATCCATCACCCTACACGTGTGCCCTATCACCCCTTTTGCCCCTCCCTCCCTCCCCTCTGGCAACCACCAATCTAATCTGTATCTGTGTGTGTGTGTTGTTTTTGTCTTCCACTCATGAGTGAAATCATAAGGTCTTAGCTTTCTCCATCTGACTTACTTTACTTGGCATAATTCCCTTAAGGTCCATCCATGTTGTTGCAAATGGCACAGTTTCATCTTTTATGGCTGGGTAGTAGTCGATGGTGTGTGTGTGTGTGTGTGTGTGTATATATATATATATATATATATATATATATATATATATATCCTATTTTCTCTATTTATCCATCCACTGATGGGCACTTAGGTTGTTTCCAAGTCTTGGCTATTGTGAATGATGACACAGTGAACATAGGTGTGCAGATATCTTTTCACATTCATGTTTTCATGTTCTTTGGATAAATACCCAGAAGTGGAATAGCTGGATCATATGGTAGATCTATTCTTAATTTTTTGAGAAATCTCCATACTGTTTTCCATAGTGGCTGCACCAGTTTGCACTCTCACCAGCAGTGTACAAGGGTTCCCTTCTCTCCACATCCTCTCCAACACTTGTTTCCTGTCTTAATTATAGCCATTCTGACAGGTGTGAGGTGATATCTCATTGTAGTTTTGATTTGCATTTCTCTGGTAATTAGTATGTCCAACGTCTTTTCATGTGCCTGTTGGCCATCTGTATATCTTCTTTGGAAAATTGTCTGTCCAGATCCTCTGCCCATTTTTTAATTAGGTTTTTTGTTGTTGAGTTGTATGAGTTCTTTATATACTTTGGATATTAACCCCTTATCAAATGTGATTTGCAGATATCTTCTCCCAGTTGTTAGGCTGTTTTTGTTTTGTTGATGGTTTCCTTTGCTGTGCAGAAGCTTTCTATTCTGAGGTAGTCCCATTTGCTTTTGTTTCCCCTGCCTGAGGAGACATGGTAATCGAAAAGATACTGCCAAGACCCATGCCGCAGAACATGCTGCCTAAGTTTTCTTCTAGAAGTTTTATGGTTTTGGGTCTTAGATTCAAGTCTTTAATCCATTTTGAGTTAATTTTTGTGCATGGTGTAAGGTCATGGTCTACTTTCACTCTTTTGCATGTGGCTGTCCAGTTTTCCCAACACTGTTTACTGAAGAGATTTTCAGAGCTGTAAGCAGTTATTAACCCCTTAGTGCAAACTACTCTATCTCATCCTGCCACAAACACTGCACTTGGGGTCTTTTCAGTGCCACCAGGAGATGACTCAGAGGAGATGGCCTGAGGCCTACTCACTTAAGTAAGTGAGGCAGGTGGGACAGAACGTGCCAGCTCCTGCAGGTTCTAACACTAACGGAAACAACAGTCTCAGGAAATGATACTTAATACGGTGGAAGTTCCTACTGCGCTGTGACCCATTAATATTTTAACCCTCTGATGAGCTCACCGCTCAGATTAAAACACTGCCCTAGGTAAATGATCCTGCATAGCTTCAGTAGTACGGAGTAAGAATTCTGCTCAGTAAGGAGATAGCAGGAGACAGCACAATGTGGGTGGGTTGCCTGGCCTTCAAGCAGGTAACCCAAAGTCACCTTGGCCCTGACCCTTATCAGCTGTGTGACCTTAGGCAACTTACTTAACCTTCCTGTGCCTGTTTTCCTTGTGTATAAATTAAAGATAACAGGGATTAAATAGCACAGTGAATAAGCAGCCCGCAGCCTGCCTCGCAGAGTGGGCGTCTAACGTGGCATCAAGGAATGAGGAGTGGTTTGAATCCCCTTCCCCACCCACCCCTCTTTCTTTATTCAGAAGGCCTGTCTCGAAATGAAGCCCAGAGCATAAGAACAACGAAAGTGGAGCTTCACGGGGTGAACACGCGGAGGGGCCTTGGCTCCACAGATAACACGCGCTCTGCACAGGGTCAGGATGAAGTGCCCCATTTCCCTTCTACCCTGCCTGCTCTGGGCAGTCACCACCCCTACAAGAGGTCACAGTGAAGTCCATGGTAGATTTTGGTGAACAATTGGGACCCACCTCATCTTACTATTTAATAGGGACATTTTACAAAATACGAGATTAAATACTTAGAAGGCAGAGAAGGCAGTTCACGGGCACATGCCAGTCTGGATCACGTCTTCTTTGCAAACTGCAATTAAATTAGTCACAAGTGCTTGACAAGGGATGGTTTACCTGAAAATCCAGATTTCTCCCAAATGCCCAGGTGGGCCGGGGTTTCTGCATGGCCACCCCTGGCTGAGGTGGAAAGCGCAGGACCGCTGTAGCCCTCGGCAGGGCCTGGTGCTCCCGCTGCCTGGGGCCTGCCGCGTCCCGTGGTCTCCCAGCGCTGAGCCGAAGCGCCACTTTCTCTCGCATGGAGAAACTTGCCCGCTGCCCTCTTGTCCTGCCTACCTGGCCCCTGCCCTGAGGTGACCTTCACATGACGGTGCCCCTTGCAGACTTCTGCGCTGAGTCCGCCCTGCTTTGGCTGATTGACCACTGAGTCACTGCTGCCCCTCCGCTGCCCCGTCTTTCAGACCTCTGCTCCTTGTCCATTCCCGTCAATGCTGATTCCAGCTGGTTCCAGTTCCTGCCATCTCATTCCAGCACTTACTGCCCGGTTCTGGTACCTTACCTGCTCTCGGTTAACTGCCTTGCTTCCTCTCTCTTCACCTTGCTAACCCCTAAAAGCACCCTAGCTTTCTAGCCATTGACCGTTGTAGGGACCTGAAATTGGCCACCCCAAGATATGTCTCTTTGGCATCAGGATTATTTGAGGCTGATTGCTTTTGATAAACTGGGACAGGGAAGGAGGCTCTGAGGAATGGAACTTGCCCTTCCTTAGGACATATTTACATTTGTAAGGTAAATCTCTATCTGTAAAGGTGCCTCCCTCTCTGTACCAGGAAGAAGGAGATGACCTTCTTTCTAGAAACTCTTAATCAATACCAAAGGCAAGGACTTAAATCTGCATTTTATTGTGCTTGTCTGGTAACCTCCTGTAACTGACTTCCCTCCCCCTCCCAACGTTGGCATTTCTTTAAGGATTAAGCATCTTTCCTTAGGCTAGGAACTGATTGCTGCACTCACCTGTGACCGCCCAGCTCCAGACAATAGACTTGCCTCCAGCTACGCCCTCTGAGACAGCAGACCACTACCTGCTGTGTCCATCAAGTGCTGTGCCGACAGGGCAATCTTGTGACTATTGTGGGAGGGACATTTCAATCACACGTGAAACACCCTGTTTGGGGGTATATAACCACTGTGTGCACCCCACTTCTTGGGTGCCCTTTCTTCCTTCGGGAAGAAAGGCCCCGGGCCATGGTTCCTCATAAAGCTTTGTTTAATTTTCTCTTGCTATTCTGTCTCATGTGAATTTAATTCGTTCTCCGGCCAGACGAACCCACATTTGGGGAGAGGAAATGTCTTCCTCCCCTACACCGTGTTCCTGAAAAGCTCTCAAAAAGCCCATCTTTAATTATAAAAGCAAGTATTTGCTCAATGAGTGAGGGGACACTTTGTATCCATTTTCCATTTGTAACTTTCTAACCATCATCTTTCATATTTAGCTCTATGGTTCTCACAACAGGACCCACAACCTCATCTGTCTTTCACTATCACTTTCAAGGCCCAAATTGTACCTTTTTTCCAAGCAATGTAGTAGCTTTCAAATTTATGTCGTGATTTCATCTTTAAGTTCAATTTTTCCAGGCTATTCTTGAAATTAAAGCTAAATCTAGCTCTCCTATCATCAAACCCTGTCTAACATTCTCCCCAAATTCTCCATCTCCAAACCACAACTCAAATTGCCACTTTATCCTTAACTACTGATTCACTTATCACTACATTCAGATTCAATCCCCTCGAGGAATTTTCCCTTCAATGTCATTTTAATTTTTTTATCAGTATCTCTTCCCCAAAAAGCTAAAATTTTTTTTTGAGGAAGATTACCCATGAGCTAACATCTGCCGCCAATCCTCCTCTTTTTTGCTGAGGGAGACTGGCCCTGAGCTAACATCTATGCCCATCTCCCTCTACTTTATACGTGGGACACCTGCCACGCATGGCTTGCCAAACCGTGCGTAGGTCTGCACCTGGGATCTGAACCAGCGAACTCCAGGCTGCCAAAGCAGAACAGGTCAACTTAAACGCTGCACCACCAGGCTGGCCCCAACCTAATTTTCTTTGAAAGAAATGTCTTCCATCCCAGGCTCTTTGTAATACTGAGGTTACTCCTGTCTTTGAAACACTCTTTGTACCCAAGTTTGTTTCTGGGCTGTCGGTGCAAGTCCTTAAACTAAAAGATAAAGGAAGGGGATGGTGTTGAGTGATTACAGCCAAAACGGCAAAACAGGCTGCTTCTGAGGAAACTTGCCTGCTAAATGAAAGCCTCTGGGGCCTGTGTGTTTTTAAATTTCCAGTGCCAAAAGGTAATTATGTAATGATGATCCTGGTAATATCCTGAAACAAAGGTTTTCACTATCATTAGCATAAATTCTGTGACTTTAAATATTTGTTTTTCTTAAAATTAATAACATATGACTAATGTAGAAATAATGAATCTTTAGTTTTTAAGTACAAATATATAATTTTTTTCATATTTTTCTTAAAAGACTATGCAGTAAAACTTTGTAAAGTGTACTCATGTTTATTATAACTTAATATCAAAATTTCATAAAATACAAATTTAAGCAGAACATTCTAAAGTTTACCGTAATTTTATTGTAACAATGTCAAAATTATATAAAATTAGAAAATTAATGAGTTTTGCTTCTTCAGATGGTCTTTAAGAATCTCAAAAACCTTGAAGTTTGCTGAAAATAGAAAATATTCGTAAAATTAAACATTTTGGAGACCTGTTATTGTCCATTTCTTAATATTTAGTTTTAGTTAATTAATTTTAAAAATAGGCAATACATGCACATTGTTCCAAATTCAGAAGGGGGCGCAGTGAAAAATAAGTCAGTCCCACAGTCTGTTTCTGCCTCCCCAGAAGCAAAGTATATCCTTATACAGACAGTCTGATCATACATAAGCCTATGCGTACGTGGGAATGCGCTTTAAAAACACATACACAAGTGGCAGAATACTGTGAACACTATTCTACACCTTTTTTTTTGATTAGTAATAAATACATTATATTCATAATTTTTAAAACTAATCCCTTCCTTTATGGCTTTGACATTTAAGTTAGAAAAGTTCTGAATAAGTATACACATTTAAATGGATCTCCACTTACACTGTTTTGCGGTAATAAAAATTACAATAAAAACAGCTGCATCTACTTTTGTGCATCAGCCAGTGCACCTGTCGGGTGAATTCCTAGAAATGGAATTGCTGGTGTATGCAGTTCGGGTCTCAACAAATGTCAAATTGCCCTCCGTAACGTTTTTACCACTTATTCTGACTTTGTGTGCGAATGGGTACTCCTCCCCTGCATCGCTATCTTGTGTTTTTAAATAAAACAACTGTATTTGAGAGTACACGTTCAACAGGCTTGACCTTATCTACTTTGACTACATTTCTCTGATTAACTCTACAATGTGATTTCACAAATCAGGAACACCAAATTATTTCACTGTATCTTGAAAATTTTTTCTCTCTCAAAAATAACATACATCAACTTACTGGATCCAGCACTGAAAAAATCAAGTTTATAACTACTCAATTATAGTTTGGAAATTACGTCCAGGCTTTTCGCACCTGAGTTCACAGAGGATAAAGGGACCAACTATCTCAACCAACATGAGCATCAGCTGCAGGTCAAGTCGTGGGCTGGCAACTCAGGAGGGCCAGGCACAGGGCGGCCTCGGGCACAGTGGGCTGAGAAGCTGATAGAAATCTGCCTCGAGTGCTTAGAACACAAGCCAGCTCTGCATGGCAGGCAGGAGCAACACAAGAAGTGCAACTGAAGTGTCTGTGCTATCACAGTAAAGCAGTCAGTTTCCTACTGTGGTTGATTTATTTATAGTCCAACTCGTTTTTTAAAAGAATATAAAATGGTTTGCTGAGATAGAGGGAATAAAAAAAAGTAAGTACATGAGGAAATTCAAGTGAGGGGAAAATTCAGGTCAGAAAAGAAGACGAAGCCAGGGCTGCACTGTGCAGGTGGCTGTGCTTTTGCAGCTAAGGCAGAGGGAGTCTGTCAGAAGATTCACAGTGTCTCCAAGATAAACATAGTTGCTTAGGAAAGAAACAGATTTCTCTTGTCCCGACATCTGTTCAAAGTTCCCAGTATTGATTTTCGTAGCAGGATAAGCTTTATACATAATCTCAGTAAAAGTCAATCTAAAGATGGACAAAATATGCCCCAGGCAGACAGCCTTAGAGGTGACTTAATCCTGGGGTCACAAGATCATATGCCCTCGCGCATCCAGGTGTGGACAGCAGGAGTGGGGAGACTGGAGAAGTGCGCGTGCCCTTACATGAAGGCAGTCTGCCATGTTTTTTAGGATTCACTGTGGGCTAGGTGGAGTCAAACCCATTAGGCTTAGGGAATAGGGGCTGGAACAGCTGTGACCTTTAAGAGAGCATCTCACCCTAAGGAGTGCCTGGAACACAGTAAGAACCAGATATATGTCAAGTGAGTTCATCTAAGAATAAAATCTAGACTGTCTCATGAAGTGAATGGACTTCATTCCTCCATGAGTGTTGACCAGCAAGAACAGTGCATATTTTTTTTCCCCAAGAAATAGATATAAGAAACTGTTAATCAAAGTTTCAAGGCTGGGAAGCAGAGGTATTTTTCCCTTTCAATTTTATACTTTTAAGCGTTGTTTAAAATTTTTATCATGTACTTGTTTTCATTTTTATTTGAATAAATATGTTAATTACTCCCCAAAAAAAGACAGTTGGGCTGTGTTCAAGGTTATGTTCTCTGACACAAACCTAGAGGGCAGTTATCTGGTTATTTCTTCTTAATTGGAGGTGGGAGCTTTTTCACAATACAATAAACTGAGAAATTGCATGTTAGGATGCCTGCATCCAAGGGAAACAGTGTTAAAAATGCATATTTCTGGGTCCTACAACTAGGGAGTCATTGGTAAGTCTGGGGTGGGTCCTGGAACTGGACATGTCGGCGGATTCTGACAGAGGCAGTCTACAGAGCATCCTTTGAAAACACTACCCATGAGCTGATTATTATTCTTTTCCCCTAAAACCTCCCTCCAAACCCAACCCTCACCATCACCACACTCGCACCCAACTCCCCACCATGTCTTCGCTGCCAATTGAAGGCAGGATCAGGAGTCAGCCTGTAGGAGAAGCAGCCCACCTCCACAGCGGGACCGAGATCTCCCTCAGCAGACAGTTCTCGGTCTATTTCATTCACAAACGTGCCATCAAGTACACACAACTGTATGTCACACAGCATGACCACAGTAAGTTCAGCCTAGAACGTTTCCAGTGGGCTACTAGAGACATTTTTAAAAATCTCAACACACCTACAGAACATCTGATTTTTAATAACATAACCAAGAGACAGCTCCCTGCTGTTTCTGTGGGCAACTTACCTGTCTTCTACTGTCTTATTGGAAGGATAAAAAACTTTGAATGAAAATCCACTTCTTGGAAAAGAGCCCTTCGGGGAGAAAAATGCCTGTAAGTGAATACTCAACTTTTATAAAATAATTTCTATTTTTTAAAACAAATTCCATGGTTGTGACTTAAAGTTAGAAGATGTGACTATAACGTAATGAAGCAGATTTTTGCATGATCTTTATAGAGAAAAGGTACTACTATGAAACAGCTCCACTTGAAGCAAGTCTTTCAGGTTGGCTGGGCAATCTCATGCACGAGATGGGACAAGTCTGTAGGAGTGGCACTACTTCCTAAAGAAAGAAACAGCACTGTGTGAAGCTCAGTACGCCTGCAAGCCGCTCAAACATCTTGTTCAAGAAATCTTTCCTGCCCTCTCCCCAGTGAGAATCTGGGTTTGCTTCCCCTCCAGTGTGCCCCCAAAGCAGCTGAGCAGTAATCACACATACAGTTGTCTGTCCGTTCCTAGAGCCTTAAGGTAGTGAGCAGGGACTATCTTTTCTGGCCCATGGAAGGCTCTCATTAATGTGCGGAAGTATCAAGGGATGAAGCAATGTCAAAAGCAAGTTTGTGTTCGCCCAAAAGGTGAAAAAGATACATTGAGGGTGTAGGAGGTGATTGTTTACTCACCTATAGGATAAAAAGTGGAAAAATTCAGAGAAAGTGTTTTCAAAGAGAACATTAACTATGAGAATGCTCAAAGAGTTCAATTTAAATAAGGAAATAGTCTCAATTTGAAAGAATATTGAAATGTGAATAAAGATTCTACAAAAATTAGGCCACAAATAACAGTGAAACCAAATTAGTTGACTACACTCATCCTTAGAGCAGTAGTTCTCAATCAGGGACAATTTTATCCACTAGGGGACATTTGGCAAATATCTGGAGACAGTTCCGATTGTCCCAACCAGGGGCTGCTCCTGGCATCTAGTGGGTGGAGGCCAGGATGCTGCTCAGCATCCTATAGGGCACAGCACAGTGCCCTACAACAAAGAATTATTTGGTCCAAAAATGTCAGCAGTTCTGTGGTTGAGAGACCTGTCTCAGAGAAAGCTGGACAAAAAAAGTGTGTTTGAGGAAAGCAATAATCAACAGTAAGACATGATGTTTCTAGAAATGACCTACATGAAACAAAAAAGTGTTAAAATCTGAAATTCACAAGGATCAAGGAAGCATACAGATTAAAAATCACTAGTGAAGATATTTGACATAAACAACGTCTATGCACATTTATTCTCCAAGTTCAAAAAGTCAATCACACTTCTATAGAAATTCAGAAGCAACTTCAGGATTCCGAAGCAACTTCAAGGTTCTAGAAAAAAAAGGAAATAATAAAATGTGTCCCAGTAAGAATTTCCACACTCATCAGGCTTAGATTTTTGGGATTTGGGCAGTTTCCAAAAATCAAAATCATCCTCAAGGGACAAGTGCCATTAATATGTTTAAAGAAAATGAGAGAGAGGCTCTGAAAGCAATCTCCAGAAAGGAAGCCCAAGGTAAGTTACTCTGAGGGAACACTCACTTGCATTTGTAAGTTTTAGTGCATTTGTTTTTTTAGAAAGTCATTTTACTTTATAGTCACATGCTATTTTGAAAGTTTAAGAATTTTCTGTGTACACCACATTAGTTCAATGTTTTACTAGTGATATGTTTTTACTCCAACAGTAATCTTATTAACTATGTATTTTAAATTTAAAGAAATAACCCTGTGATCTCGATGAACTATGACTACATGAAGTTCACTGCATTCTCACCGGGTTCATGCAGATGCATTCGGTGTTGGTCAGAGTGAAAGGATCATATTTGTCTGCGATGACGAGCAGATCGGGCACAGGATACACCCTCAGAGCGTAGTCGTATGCCCAGTACACGGGGCACACATAGAGCGGGAGAGGAGTCAGGTGTCCCTGGGATAAGATGGTCTTTACAAACTACAAAAGGATGATACAAAACAAACTTCAGTTGACTTATGAATGGCAGCTAACAAATAATTGCAAATTAAACATTAATTCCCAAAAGGTCTTAGAAAATTTGAGAAACAATTGGGAAAACTGAATCACAGAGCTTGGGAAACACTGATATGAAATTAAATGAGCTATCCTGTACTTCTGGAGAAATCTAGGAATTTTCATTTAACACCATATACCATAAAAGCTACTCCCCCAAATAAATCATATTGGAGCCACTGTACTTAGAGCTGTGTAATAAGCTCATTTACTCATTCTGTTCATCTAAAAGTAATTCCACAGCCTGAGTAATGCCAAGAATAGATATTTAGCCAGCATACGCTTTAAATATTAAAAATAAATACTAAAAATGCTCTGTATGATCCACTTCTGTTCTTCGCAAATGGGCGTACATGTAACCAGGGATGGACAATCGTATGTCAGGGAATTTGATGTTACAAGATAAACGCTACACTCCTCTTGATGTGGACATATCATATGAAATATTTAATAAACATTATAAACATGAACATTTTATTAAAAATATATGTATATATTTTGAAGTACATTGTAAGATTCATGAGTTTTAAAAGCAAAACGGGAAGCTCCAAAGAAATTTCCTGCTCGTTCTGGGCTTTCCTCTGCCCACTAAGGGATACTTCAGTGAGAAAGTTCACAAACACTGACTTAGGAACAAAAATTAACGTACTGACAAGAGTATGTTGTCAGTAAGTTACGACGCTTAACAGAGAAGACTTAAAACTTACATGATTAGGAATATCCAAATTGCTACTAGGAAAACGGACACAGTTTCTGCACATTTTATTCACTAAGTCTTCACGGAAGACAATAATTTCTTGCGTACAATACTGAATTCTGAAATGAAAAACAGTAGTTAAATTTGACTTCCACAGAACAAATTATGAGATAATTTTAAAGGCAAAATGTTTTTTTTTTTTGTAAAGATTTTATTTTTCCTTTTTTTCTCCCCAAAGCCCCCTGGTACATAGTTGTGTATTTTTTTTTCAGTTGTGGGTCCTTCTAGTTGTGGCATGTGGGACACCGCCTCAGCATGGCCCAATGAGCGGTGCCACGTCTGCACCCAGGATTTGAACCAGCAAAACCCCAAGCCGCCAAAGCGGAGTGTGCGAACTTAACCACTAGGCCACAGGGCCAGCCCCCCGCAAAATGTTTTATAATACAAAGCCATCCCACTTCCCATTGTTCACCACAGCAAAAGTTCAACCAGATTTATCTATTCATCCATTCATTTGGCAGTTATTTACTGAGCTCTTAATATGTGTGTGTCCTGCACTGTTCCAGGGATGAGCGAACAGAACAAAAGACCGCAGCCCTCACAGTTTACGTTCTAATGGGGGAGGGCGGGCAGAGAAAGTAAACAATAAACACGGTTAGTATACAGTATGTTGGAAGATGACTTAATGTGTGGGAAAAAGGCTAACAGGATCATCTGTGGGGAGAGAAGGGCGAGAAGGCTGGAGAACTGAACAGGATGATCGGAACAGCTCAGGCTCGTAATGAAGCTTGGTTTGAGCACGGACTTGAAGGAGGTGGTCAGTCAAGGAGACATGCAGAGGAAGGATGCTGCAGGGAGAGCAGAGGTCCTATGATGAAGCATGCTGCACCTCTGAGGAACAGAAGGAGGCCAGAGTGGCTGGAATCAATGAGGAGAGGAAATTGGGCCAGATCACACACGACCCTGACCGCTCCTGCAAGGACATGGCTGTTCCTGCCTGACTCGAGGGGCCCCATCTGTCAGGATCAGAAGGGATGTGATATACTTTAGGTTTCTACGATCACTCTGACAGTGTGAAGAACAGAGGAGGGAGGGGCGGAGTAAAAGCTAAAGACCCACTTGGAGGTTGTGACAGTAATCCAGGCTGGAGAAGAAGGCAGAGGGTCGGGGAGGTGGAGGGTACAGAGGTGGCCAGATTCTGGATATATTTTAAAGTTTTCCTTCAAATTTCTGAAGGAGTTCCTGAAAAACTACATGTGAGGAGAAACCCCAAAGTTTTTGGCCTGGGCGACTGGAAGGACAAAGGTGCTATGAACTAAGATGAGGAAGGCCACAGAACAGGTGGGGGCTGACGAGGCAGGAAGGTCAGAGGTTCCGACTGAAACTGTCATCAGACACCCAAGGGGAGAGAGGAGGCTACTGATGCCTGAGTCTGGGGTCTGGGAGGAAGGTCTGAGCTGGGGACACAGATGTGGGAGCTATCAACACATGGATGGTACTGACAACCATGCATGGGATAAGGTCACAGAAGGGGTGAACACAGGCCGCAGAGAGAGGAGAACCAAGGAGAGAGGGCATCGCCTCCATTAGAGCCTGTGGCCACAGCGAGCGGCACACACAGCAAATGTGTCATCTTTCCATTCTCCCCATAACTTTCCTTAAAGAATGTGTAATGAGAATATCTATTTTTAAACCTCCATCCATTATTCAAGCTTCTGAATTCAATATTAGTGAATTATTTAATTAGAGTTAAAATATTTTCAAAGTTTTGAGAAACAAAGAGAAATCTTTTTATATTTATCTCACAACAGTCAAAATTCAGAGACAAATTTTAAGAATTAAGTTAATTTTTAAGTGAAAGAAAAAAAGTGTAACAAAAAATTCTAATGTTTACCTGCAAGGATTAGTAGTGAAAACTGAAAATGGTACTCTCTGTCTGAATTCACTGGTGACGCTTTCAGCAAGTGGTGGCCTATAAAAACAACTTATGTGATACAGCATGTATTTTTAAACTTTACAAAATTTTCTTTACTGTTACAAAAGTCTGAATAAAACTTACCTTGGTAAGATGGAACCAAATCCAGGATCCTCTGGACCAGGTACAAACACAAAACGACTACTGTAGCAAAATTCAACGTAAGTCATTTAAAATATGGATCATTGCAACACCATCCACTAGTCTAACAACAAGTTATTGCTTTTAATTAAATAATGAGTTTTAAAAGAATTTTAAATTTCATCCATTTTAAATGAATTACTAAAAGTCTCCAGACCAACACTGTCCAGTAGACAGTTCGGCAATGATGGAAATGTTCTATATCTGTACTGTCCAATTACTGAATGTCTGAACTGTCACTAGTACAACTGAATTTTAAATTTTATTTGACTTTAAATTCAAAGAGACACGTGGCCAGTGACTATCACATTGAAGAGTGCAGCTCTAGACACTTGAGTAATGTCATCAAGAAAGTCAAATTACAGCTGTCACTCTCCCTTTTAATACTTATCACTACAAATCTAGAGTGCAGTGTAACATACATTATCATGATGTGAGCATAATTTTCTCTCTTAGCTGTACTAATTTTCTTAACTTTTTCTTCCATTCATTTCTTAGTAATCATTGATATCAAACTTAGGATTTATTTTTTGGGTTTTTTTTAAACAAAATTGTTTAAATAAAAAATATAGCAGTAGAAATCATTACCTTTGGTGAATATTTGGATATTCACATATTATATCTGCCAAAGTTTTCAGGGAATCTAAAATTTTAAAAGGATATTAAATTTAATTTGCACATAATGCACATAAAAATCAAACTGTATTTGATTAGACACAATCTAACATCTTTTGAATGAAACTAAAATATTACAGATTATTTATCAATTTAGTTTAAATTGATGTAGGAACACTTATTCAATAGACTCTCAATACCTTTCAAAGCTTGAACTTGATTTTTTCCATATGGTGCAGATGAGAAATTACCACACAGAATAAAGCAGGTTGGAGGAGCTGGTGAATAACCTAGATATAAGGGAATCAATGAACATCATTTTTCTAGTCTAGAAATCGGGTCAAAACCCTTTCATCACGAGTTTTTACTAATAAAAACATTATTTTAATAACAACTTATTTTAGTAACAACTTCTTATTTAAATACAGTAGTAGTGACAGTGCCCAATACTGAGGACTCATTCTGTGCCAGGCCCTCCTCCCGACATCCCCACAAGCTCAGAGAGAGATGAGGTGAGCTCCCAAGGCCTCAGGCTGCAGCTCACACCCATTCTGTCAGGCTCCAGAGCTCAGGCTCTCATCTACTCTCAAGCTCCACTCGGGACTGATTCTTATTTATTGTGAATACACACACACACAGCGTGTTATTTTTCAAATGGAAAAATTTAAGTCTTTAAGATAAACTCATTTAAAATATTTTTTAAAAATAGACTACTCAAAAAGATACATTTGTAAAGAATTTAGTTTTTTTTTTTTTAAGAATTTAGTTTTAAGACAGGACCCCTCAAAAGAGTTCAAGAATAACAGGAAAAGTGACACCTACCAGAAAACATGGTGTGCAGTTTTTCCAACACTTCTACTTGGTCCAACCAGACATCAGACAGAAACACAAACATGGCATCTTTATTCTCATCTTCCAGCTGCTTCAGTTTTGCAGAAGTCTTCACAGATGTGTTAGAAGGCCCTCCAAAAAAATTAATATTTCCATAGTATGCCCTAGGGAAATTACAACATAATTATTATCTTCTAGCCTATATTCTATTGGAGATATTTTTCTAATAATTTCACAAATTTAGCTTCTTCCTGTCTAATGAGGTTATTCTCCCATCATTGTAAATAGTCCCATAAAAGTGTACTACTTGTAGCACTTAAAGAGCAGATGAGTTTATTTAAACGTTTGAAAATGAGAAAGAAAGCAATACAGAAGCAGTAATAAAGTACTTAAGTAATGGGCTAACTTTGTGCCTTTTAAAACTGACTAAAGCAAATATTAAAATAAGTCATAATTCCCTATGTGTTAAAAGTAGGAGAAATGGGTACTTAATTCCAACAGTATCTAATAAAAGTGCTCAAAAAAAGTGCTAACCGTTTGACCAAACATTCCACTTCTGGAAATTCGTTCTGAGGAATTAAAGACTAACCTACATCCCAGAATTGTGAAAATTTGGAGGGAACCTTAAAGCTTGTCAGGAAAGGGTCAGTAGGAAACGGGGGTCATCCACAGACACAGCCTCCCCTGCTCTTGCCCCCGTTCCCTGGCCGTCATCCTGTAGTTCCCAGCGTGATGGTGACCAGCCCCGAGAAGCCTCCCGAGGACCCAAGAAGAGGCTGGATTCCCCACCATGCACTCCTGTCCGACCCGCAGTTCTCCTCTGTGGGAGAATCCAGAAGGATCAAATTTGTAATCAGCTCATTATCTGAGTGACTGTTTACTGTCTATTGCCCCCACCCAACAACTAGCACAGAGCCTGGCAATACGGTATGTGCTCAAAGTTATTTGCTGAATGTCACAAATCATGTAATAAAACAGCATTTCATGGTAATGGAAAATGCGGACAGCATACTATTAAATGAAGCAGGTTACAGCAATGTATGTGTCCATTTTTAGTGTCCAAAAAAAGAACAGATATAGACCTGTGTATCCAGGCATAAAAAGAAACTGTGTGTGCACGTCTATCGTGCTATGGCTGATGCTTGTTATCTGCTGTGGTCATGCTTTATAAAGTTGCTGCAAACACTGCATTAGCGGGTACTGAACCCTCGCTCCTCAGGAAATACAAACATATCTACACATATCTCAGATAGATTATAATCTTAAACCCTAAAATAACTCAGCTTGGTAGATTCTGTTTTCTTTATTTTACAAAAGAGAAAACAGGCCCAGGTTCAGAAGGGTCAGAAGGGTTAAGTGACTCGCCCGAGACCACCCCACCTCTGTGCACACCCCAGAGACCGCACTGCGCGCCCCTGCCCACTCCATCCCCCAGCTGCCTCTGCAGGAGGCCTAACCATGGCAGAGGCTCCCCAGGCCACTGCCGCTCGCTCTGCACGGGTCTGAGAATGACCGCTATAGCACCGTGGATGCTGATTCTGGGGTTATAAATAAGTTTTCACAAGAATGTGTGGATAACAAGGATCTACTATAAATATAATGTGTATACATAATCTAAAATATATATGTTAAGTTTTTCTCTATGTTTGGTGAATTATAGGTAATTCTCTTTTCCTTCTTGTTGCCTTCAGATATTTTCTAATTTTTTTTGCAATCATATGCTGCTTGCATAAAATGAAACCAATTTTTTTTTTGCTGAGGAAAATCTGCCCTGAGCTAACATCCATTACCAATCTTCCTCTTTTTGTATGTGAGCCACTGCCACAGCATGGCCACTGATAGATGAGTGGTGTAGGTCCACGCCCAGGAACTGAACCCAGGCTGCCAAAGTGGAGCTAGCCAAATTTAACCACTAGGCCACCTGGGCCAGTGGAAAAAACATTTTTTTAATGACTCAACTACTTTTCCAATGCAGCATAATGGCTGGAGTCAGAAATCTTGAGATCAAAACACATTTCTGCTACTAACAAGTTTGTGACTCTGGACAAGTTACTCAACCCCTCTTAACCCAACCGTCCCCAAATGGGGCGCGGCTAGACTCACATCTAACACAAGGGTTATGAGAAGGAATGAAAGAGGGAATGTACAGAAAGCCCTTAGGGACTGTGAGCACCCAACCGTGGTACTTGTCACCAGTGCCACCAACTAGATTTGGCATTTTCAAAGGTGTGATCTCACAGTTATAACTTTACACTTGTCACAGGAATGCAGTAAGCTGTTAGAAATGTGTGATGATTTCAATTAAGTATACATCCACACATAAGCCAGAGCATTACAGAAATACCTATTCAGCTGAATCTTGAGAAAGTAAAGCCCAGAAAAGCCTTATTAACATCTTCTATCCTTGGTTCATGGAATACAAAGTGCAAAGACAGGAGGGAGACGAAGGGCTGACAGTACCTATTTTCCTAAGGTTTCAATTTGAAAAGAAATATTGCAGTAATTTTAGAAACTCAAATAACACCTTAGGCTCAGAAAACACAAATCACATGCCCTGCACCAGTGAAAGACTTACCAAGATGGCAGTGAAGTCCTAGCAAATCTGTATCCTAAAAAAATTATGATAAACTAAGCCACGGTGGGAAGGCATTAGGTCAGTGTAAATCCTTCCGGGACGGGACCATGCCATAGACCTATCTGTACTTATCTGTATCCCTAAAACAGGACTTTACACATACAAAGTACTCCATAAAATACTGGTTGTCAAATCTCACGACTACTACCAGTCTACAACCCTCTGAATTTTATTTTGAAGGTATTTTAAGAGAAAAGTAATTTATAACCATAACAGCAATAAAATGATTATTTTATTTTAATGTACTTTATGACACGTCATATCAGTCCTTTGGTGTAAAAAACATACACAAAACAGTTGAATTTAGAGAAAATGGCATGATTGAAATAGAAAATTACTTGAGATACTACAATGATGACCTCTTGGCTAAACTGAAACGCATGGTAATGCTCACAACCAGCCACTCAATTATACCTCTCATTGCAAAGCAGAAATTTTGAAGCTTGTATGAAACTAAAACACCAAGACAATAGCAATTCCGCTCTAACTATGTCCCAAAGAAAACCTACCATGTTATAAAAAGCCACAAACTCGCACTCAAAGCACTCATGAGTGAGCTGGCTTGATGAGGGTGTGTCCTCCTTGGCATGACCAGCTCTTTCCCTGGGCTACTTCAGCAGGAAGAGGAGCTGCCTGCCAGGGACACCCGGCCAGCAGGCGTGGCCTGTGACCCTGAATGTACTCAGGTACACGAGGACTAAAACCTTAATCCTTATACTCCTTGAAATCTTCACCATTGTCAGACTCTCAAGATGAGAAGGCAACTTCACTCCCCCAGAGCTGGCAGACTCGAGTGCTCCCCAGCTTCAGGAAGGAAACACCAACTCCCAGCAGCAGCTGAGGCTGACTGGCAGGAGCTGGGGGCACACCCATGGCTGCCCAGGGCGGGCCATCGCTGCAGTGGAGTCCTAGCCAGGTGAGCATTCAGGCACCACGTTGCCAGATATGATTGTTCAAGAGAACTCAGAAATCTAGACTTTTATGAGAAATCTCCTAATTTTTAAACACTGGAAACTAATTCAAAATGTTTTTTAACACCTCAAAGGGGGAAAAAGAAAAGAAAGGTCTGTAGACTACATTCAACTCACAAGCCACCAGCTACAAGTTTACACCATCATTCAGCCTCTGCTCAAATACCTCGAGTGACAGGGAACTCACTCCTCTCAGAGAAGGCCCTTTTGGAATAGCTCTAATATCATGATGCTTTTGCTTATATCAAAGAGCTATATAATCTGCCTCTTATAACTTTCACTCATTAGTAGAATACAAAAATAAGAACTTTACATAACATGGGAATTATACTCTTCTAAGTGTTTTCCTATCTCTTATCTCAGTTGAATTTCTCATGAACCCCACAGATAAGTAAGACAGGTAGATTGGAAATTTTTCCCAATTAACGCTGAAGTATAGAGATGCTATTGTACTAATCTGGGGTCAATCCACTGGTTTTCAGGTACATATAAAGCCCAGTCTTCTAACTCTCATTTTCCATTGCTCTTTGCATTCTGACACAAAGCCTGAGGCCTTGTAGTAACTGACATATAATATACTCTCACATTCATTACTGCCAGTGTCACAAGATTCCTACAGAGTTTAAGGCAAACATCCTTATACCTGGTAATACTAGACGGTTCAGTGGGCGGGAATCCAAAGGCACTGACGTGAAATACTTGGTCTTCAAACCAACCTGAAGAAGATAAGAAACAGATCACTTTCTCTTGTCCAGTTCTCCCTATTTGACAAGACAAAACTACGGAACACAAAGCAATGATGCTAGGCTGCCTTCAGATCCAGAGACAGTCTCAGTTCTATAAAGAAATCTATGAAACAGACTCAGAAGTAAGACTTTTCAGAAAAAATTTTAAAAAAAAAATTTTTTTTAAAAGGGGCCATCCCTGTGGCCAAGTGGTTAAGTTCGTGTGCTCTGCTTCGGCGGCCCAGGGTTTCGCCAGTTCGAATCTTGGGCACGGACATGGCCCGCTCATCAAGCTACGCTGAGGCGGCATCCCACATGCCACAACTGGAAGGACACACAACTAAAAATACACAACTATGTACCGGGGGGCTTTGGGGAGAAAAAGGAAAAAAAAAAAATTTTTTTTTAAAAAAGAAGTAAGACTTTTCCCTGTTTTGCCTCACAGTGCATGTTAGAGACAGAGAGAGAAGGGACAGAAATGTTTCATTCTATGACCCTAAGTAAAATCTGGGTTTTCTTCAATTTAATTGAAATATAATTCACAAATCATACAATTCACCCTTTGAAAGTATGCAATTTAGCAGTTTCTAGTATATTCAGAAGTGATACAACCATCACCACTAATTTCAGAATATTTTCATGATCCCAAAAAGAAACCTCGTGCCCGTTAGCAGTCTGAGAGTTATTTAATGTTGTCAAAAGCATGCTCTCGTAATCAATGTTCCCCCAAATTATATCACGTTAACACATGTGAACCAATGTAGAAACAGTTATCCTGTACAAGGAAGAGGACAGGAAAAAGGAGCACTGACTTACCTTCTGCCAAGACGAAGCATGACTCTGTGTACAACCCACTGTGGAACTGGTACACGGCAGCTGAGGAAAAGCATTCTAGTTCTATGCTTGAGGTGGCGATAAAGTCAAGAGACATTTTGGGCCCAAGAGGACTTCTAAATAATAAATTCAAAGACTTCACATTTGAAACTGTGAAGAGATCATAGCTTAAAAAATTTTTGGTTTCAATGTCCCCATGCCTGGTAATACTGACAGCACAGATCATCCTCTGCATGTTATAAACTTCCTCAGTGGTTTGTCTGGATTCTCTAAATAAGGTAGAATTAAAGTTTTTTTTGTCTCTGTTTAGGATTATGTCTCTAAATTCCTACCCCATGGCCATATGGAAGTTACACGGGGAACCCAAATAGGTCAATTTGAGAATGAAATTTAATCTATTTCCCCAACTCATGTAATATAAATTTTCAAAAAACGGAAGTGAAGGATATAGCTTTACTAAGATCCAGCTGTACTGTTCCTGTGGGATCTTCCAGAAAAAATTTCCCCTAAAAAAAATTAAAAGAAATATGTCCACATGTATGTTAAAATGAATACTATGACAAAATAACTAAAATAATGACAATTTTTGACAACCGAATCTAGTAGAGAGTACAGTGGATTTTAAAAAATCAGAAATTCCTAGTCCAGGCTTTTTCATTTACTAGCCTGGTGACTTAATTGAGACTCAGACTCCACACAGGTACCTGGAGAAGGACCACTGCCCAACCAGAGATGGCAGGAGGGACATTCGCTTGCTGCCATAAGAAGGGCCTCCCCAGGCGCCTCCACTTGACAGAGTTGACAGTGTCTCCAAGGCGCCAGGATGTGGTCTGCACTTTGCCTGTTCAGACACCCAGTACTCTCAGTTCAGCCAGCGGTCAGTGGTGACTAATTTCAGGCCATGCAGACTGGGGCCTGTATAAGACGCTCTTTCCTGATGTCTACTCAGGAAACCGAACACAGACGAAAGGGTTACTTGGTCACTGAGGCAGGAACCTTCAATGAAGGATACGTTCCCATACCCTCTGTAGAAACACGATATGTAACCGACATTTCATCAATCTGGGGCTGAAAACAAAAGTTTGATGCTTGTTCAGTTTAACTTACTTCTTTTAACTGGGTTATCATTCCAAGAACAATCACGTCTCCGATTTTGGTTGTACTGCCCAATAGGGTTTCTATTGTTTTAAGCTAAAATAAAACAAAATCAATTCTTAAAGACTGAAAATACATTCTTTTAAGAAACTAATTTTTTTATAAATAAGTGAATTTTGACTGCATATTTCAGTATTTACACCTACTGTACAGTAGAAAATCAAATAAAACTTAGAAAATAGAATTTTACCTACAAAACGCTAAAATATCAACTGCCGATGGCTTGGAAGAATCATGCCTAAAGAAATACCATATCAACTCAGGCCCTGACCAATGACTGAAGTCTCATACCATATTATTCTGAATAATGATACATACATTTATTTTTAAAATATAGAAAAGAATATAAATTCCATGTATTTTTATTTGGTCAGTACCTCTTGAAAATTAGTGGGCTTTTTTCAAAAGTTATATTCTAATTTATTTAATATCTTAATAGGCTGTCATTATTACTTACATTCTCAATCTGACCATTATATTTTTATCAAAAACTTAAAGATAGTAACAATTGGGACACCATTTAAAAAACCCTTTCAGATCCTTTTCTACACATAATCCTAAATATATGTTAATATACACATATATAATTTCTAGACACAAACCCATAGAGTTTTTGTTTTATTTGCAGAGGTGAAATCATATTATTTGTGTTATTCTGCAACTTAACTTTTTAAATTGAATAAATCTTAGACATCAGTCCATTTAGTTATGTATAGATACACTTCATTCTTTTTAATGGACAAAGATGTCTATAGTGTATGTATAACACTTATTTACCAAGCTCCTATTAGAGGATATTTAAGGTATCCCGAGTTTTCTGCTAATAAAAACAAGGCTTAATATTTCTGTGCATCTCTCTTGGCCCACTGAATGAGAATAAGTGTAGGACAAACCTCTACAAGTTCCAGAAACAGGACTGCTAGATGAAAAGGTCTATAATTTTTCATTTTTATAGAAATTACCAGGTGGAGCATCTTTTATCTCTACCATATTATGTTTTTTATTACAAATAATGCATGTTTACTATAGAAAAAATTGTTAAATATAGAGGAGGAAGAAATAAAGGCATACATAAGCCCATCACCCCATAATAATCACTGTTAACAGTTGATATCGGAGATCCTCTTGAAAAACATGAGCCTAAAGGAACACAGGAGTACAACGTACATTTAAAATAGTTTTAGAAAAATGAAATACTTAGAGATAAATCTGGAGAAAAAGATATGCAAGACCTGTCTCCTAACAACAAGGTTAGGTAAAGATTTCTTAGAAACAATACCAAAAATATGATCCATAAAAGGAAAAAGTTTGTAAGTTGGACTTCAACAAAATTAAGCACTTACGTTCTTCAAAAAGACTGTTAAGACAATAAAAAGACAACTTATAGACTGGGAAAAATGTTGCAATTCACATAAAATAAGTAAATAAATAAAGCAGCAGAGGAGTCCGAAGCTCTAACAAGACACCATTTCCGCAGTGTGTAAAGGCGGAAGACCACACAGGTACCACAAATGTAGCTTAAATGTAGATGTAACAGTTACATCAGGGATACAGAAGCAAACGGGTGGGAAAGACTGAAAGAATAATAAATTATTTAGCTAACCCTTAAAGTTACTTTGGCAAAGAGGAGAGGAGAAATAATGCTTCTGGGCTGTGGGCGCCTGAGTTGCCACAGAAACCTCATATACATACGAGAAAACACACAGTCTTTGGTAGGGAAATTTAAGCAAAGTCAATTTCCAAAACTTAATACAATTTTTTCTCTAGTAAAAGTTAAAAGCAGAAACTGTCAAACACTATAAATGTTTTCTCCTTATGGTGCTGCCATCGAACACAAATGTGAGCATTATCTAGTAGGATTGTTTCAGTAGCTATCAAGCTACTCATCATCATGAATTCTGGTCTAACACGGTAGAGAAGTTAATGGGCCTCTTCAGAACCTATTCGGAACCTCACAGAAATGGGGGGCCTAGACAGAAGTAGCTAAGGACTGTCCCCTGGCAGGGTTCTGGGTGCTGGAGAGGGGAGCAGAGCCACAGACGGGCTGATGGGGACTAGCTGTGTAGCTGGAACAGAAGTGACAGTGCCGTTTGGTAACCACTTTCCAAAGTTGAAGAGTACCAAAGTGGCAGGAGCACACAGGACAGAAGACATTCTCCCTCTCGCCGGCTCCTCGGGTCCCCACAACCCTGCGGCCTGTCTGCTCTCATCCATTCCATAAAGGTTATTTCCTTAATGCCTGAAGTGAAATTTTCACTCCAACAGACACAGCACATTTTAGCTGAGCAAGTGTGTTGTGGTCACTGGAGGGATGGGCTGGCCAAGGAGTCTGAGTGAGGGCAGGAAGGGCCAGAAAGCCAGTGCAGTATCCAGCAAATGGACCAGAAGGACCAGGATCTGTGTCGGTGGCCAGAGAACACCTAGGGGCGACCACAGTCTCAGCACCTGCCACAGAGAAGGAAGTAGCGGCTCCTATTAGACACTGTAGGGCACAGGGCGTAGACTTTACCAAGAGAGGGCATGCGAGGGTCAGTTAGCTAGTTAAACAGTTACCAGTGGTTCATTTTCATTTAAAATTCAATACATTAGAATTAAGCAATGAATATTAAACTTGTATACATATACCCCCTAAATAACTAGGATAATGTTCTAACCTGGAATTTGCTTCCGCTTTCATCAGGGTGAGAACCAATCACTGGAGGAGTAAATAATTCATGTCTATGGGTCCGCTATAAAAAAGAAAGATTCACATGAATTGCTGAAACAGAATTTTAAAATTAAGATTCATTAAAATAATACCCTGATGAAACTGTCCTTAAACTAATGTTACTATGACTTATTCTCAACAAATTTGAAAACCCACATAATTTAATGTACAAATACCTACAAAGGTAATTTTAAAAATAATCTTAGGACTAGCCCCAGTGGCCTAGTGGTTAAGTTTGACATGCTCCACCTCGGCGGCCTGGGTTCCATTCCCAGGCACAGACATATACCACTCGTCTCTCGGTAGCCATACTGTGACAGTGGCCCACATACAAAAAGAGGAAGATTGGCAACAGATGTTAGCTCACAGTGAATCTTCCTCAGCAAAATAAATAAATAAATAAATAATGAAATTATTAAAAATAATTTTTTTAAAAGGTCTCCTGTGTGCCTGGCAGCTGTGCCTCTGGGCTGAGGACATGAAAACAACAAGCAAGTTCATCCTGAGAGCACAGGGACTAGTGAGAGAAGTGTCAAGAGGACCCCCACAACAGAGGACCCCAGGCAGAGGGGCCACCCAACAACATCCCAAAGGATGAAGAAGACTCTGCTGGTAAGAAACAAAAGGAGGCTGAGACAAGTCAGAGCAAGGGATGCATCCCAAGTTAAGAGTAAAGGAGCGTTTAGGAAGCGATGCGAGCTCTGTGCAGTGGCATCATGAGGTGCAAGGGCAGAAGGTGAGACACGGCAGGAGATGAGTTGGGGCATCTATTTGGGGAGCATCCCCCCCTATTGTGGGCCCTGTAGCTGAGGCAGGGCCAGTGCTCCTCCCCCTTCTACACAGACCACCATGGCCTAGCGGATCAAAGCACTCCATCCCCTTGGCCAGTAAATGGTTCAGGGTTGAGCAAGGGCCTTCAGCTGGGCCAATAAGAGACTTCTGCCAGAACTACTAGAAAAGAGGAACTCTCTTTCCAAGAGCAGCCACGGCTGCTAGTGGCCCTCTCTGCCACCTCATAGGGAGGGCTTGTTTGAAAGTAAAATCAATTTTAAAAAAGTGCTGGGAGACGGAAAGAGGTAGCTGTCTCATGACACAGTGTGAGAACCTGGAGGCAGACATGCTTGAAACTGGTGGGCCTCTAGACTTCTCCACAAGTCAATAAATTCCTTTCTCTGTTTTAGTCACTTTGAGTTTCTGTGACCTCCAGTGAAAAAGCCCTAACAACACAGACTTTGTGTGCCAAGTCGAGAAGTTTATCTTCCAGATAATGGAGAACAAAGATTCTGAAGTAGGATAATAATAAAAATCAGATTCACTTTCAGGAAGACAACTGCAATAAAAATATGAATGGACTAAAAGTCAACCCTTTTATTTCACAGACAAGAAAAAATGAGGCTCAGAAGGGTTAAGTGACACACCCAAAATAATATGGTAGGCTTTAAAACATAATTTGTACAAAGAAAGAAAAAGGAAATGTGGTATTTACTGCACGTCTTCTCTGTGCGAGGCACTGTGCCAAGTGTGGCAGAGGAAATAAACAAGGAGCCTGCTGTCTGATAACAGGGACAAGCGCAAGGCAGGGCCAAGTCCAGTAAGCGACGTACATGTATACTGGAGATGTCAGTGGATTGAAAGCAGGAAGAGACTGCATCAAACTGGAGGTTGAATGCAAGAGGGCTTCAGAAAGGAGGAGGAATTTGAGAACGGCCTTCCGGAATTAGGAGGGTTTCAACAACAGAGAGGAGAGAGAAGAGCAGCCTGGAGAGTGGACAGTATAAGCAAAGTCACAGGACAAGTGCAGAAACAGAAACAATGATTCCGTATTTCAGCTTTGGCTCCAGCACAGAGTATGCTTAGAGTAAAAGTAGAGATTAGGCCAAAAATGTGTGACGGAAGATGTCAAATATTAAGTACAATCTGTATGTAACTCACTAGGCAGTAAAATTCCTTGAAAGACTTCTGTGGAAAATCATGACAAGCGCAGAGCTACGCTTTGGGAAGATGAACGTGGCCATGTCACGCAGGTGACAGAAGCAGAGAGAGAGAATCCTTAGTGCTCATTCTCTCCAACCTTTTCTCAGTACTTATTCCTGCTGACCGTCTTCTTGGAAGCTTCGTGAGCTCCTGCCATATGAGCCCCATCCCAGCCTGGCCCACACACTCCATGCACTTCCCTTTTCTGTTGCTTCTCTCTCCCGGGTCTCCTCCCTGCTGTTCCATCTACTACCCTGGGCAGATAAATCTCTCTACTCAGATCTCCCCCTTTAGCTCCAGATGCACATTTCAGCCGATAACCTACTAGCAACCTGAACTCAAATATCTAAAACAGAACCTGCCATCATCATCCCAGACATACCCTTTTTCCTATCTCTTAACACATTACCATTTTCCCACCCGCCTACTCTCTCAGGCTCACAACCTTCCTTAATCCTCTGAGTCTTCACTCTCTCCCTCCTCCTTCGCTTCCAGTCAGTCACCATGAACTTCGGCTCCCACTGCACTGGTTCTGTCCCCTCTGCCTCCCCCGGCCGCCTCCTTGACCCTGTCATTACCAAGCCCTCCTGTAAGGCTTCCCTCACACTTCATCCCAAGATCTGCTGGTAGAGGAAGTGCTCAAAAAACCCAGCTGTGACTGAGTCTCTGGAATCCCACGGCTCCTTGTATAAGAAACAGAGGCCCACTTCCCAGAGTGGCAACTGGGTGCTTCCACAATGTGGCTGTCCCTGGCCTTTCCACACGTATCCCCCGCTACTCCTCTTGGTGACCCCTCTTCTCCATGCAAAGTGGACTGACCGCTCGTCCCTTCCTGCCGAGCCCGTGTTTCCCTTTGCTTTTCAGACAGTGCCACCACTTTCCCCCGACTCCACATGACCAGAGCACTCCAGGCCCAGGACAAACGCCATCTCCTTGAAACCTTGCCTCATTTTTCTAGTGAATGCACTCTGCTTGTATCTCTGTTATAGCACATTTATATTTCATTTCTGCAAATGTCTAACTTCACTGAGTGTAAGGTGCTAGAAGCTAGTGCAGTGCACTAGGCAAAGGCTGGCTCCAGAGTCAGACCGAGTTCAAACCCTGTCTCCACTTACTAGATGGATCTCTGGGCAGGTTACTAAGCTTCTCTAGACCTCGGAGCCTCTTCTGTAAAATGGAAATAATAACAACATTTATACATACACTGATGATGTGATGATTAAACAAGGTAAATAATGTCTGTTAAGGGCTAAGCACAGGCCCCAGCATATCAAAAGCATGGAAGGAACATCGGGTGCCATTTTTATCATCATCCTGATTACTAAGGAGAAAGTATGGATTTTTATTTCTGCATCCCCTATATGGTCTCAAACACAGAGAGCCCAACAATAGTCTATTGAATGACAAAAGTTAGACTACACAATTCCATCCTTTGATTATCCCTGAGTCTTACCCCCCAACTTACCTGGTGCAAAATGGTATATCGTTCACGAAACAGCTCTGCTTTATCTCTTGCTGTTCCAAATAAATTTGGTGCAGGGTGGTTGGTCATTAAAAGACTAGATAAAAAAGAAATATCATTTCTGACTATCATAATATACTAAAGTAGGCCAAATGAAACATGAGACTATTTTGAAAAAAGTATACATCTGAAATTATCTTAAAACCAATAGATGGTATACTTACGGAAGAAACTTTTTTCTTTCTGAATTGTACACAAAGCGTGGAATATCAAATGCTCCTATGATATTGAAAATATGTTCTCTGAAAAACATCCCACAAAAACACAGACCCAATTTACTAAAACATAAGTATTCTAGGTAAACATGAAAACTCATATTATAATATTATGTTACACATACTACTTTTCACTGGTCATGTACACAATTTGTTATAGTGTCAAAAATTATATGGGGGTAAAATTTTTAGCTTGTGATTTTCCTTTCAAGAGACAAGAAAGCATTGCCAATACTCTCAAGCAAAAGACAAAATTAATCAAGTTAACTTCTAAGTAAGAATGTCATCTGTCGAAAAGAGCATTTACATATAAAATAGTCACATCATAAAGAAGTCTCTCCCCGGGGCCTGCCCGGTGGCGCAGCAATTAAGTTCACACATTCCGCTTCTCGGAGGCCTGGGGTTCGATGGTTCGGATCCCAGGTGTGGACATGGCACCACTTGGCACACCATGCTGTGGTAGGTGTCCCACATATAAAGTAGAGGAAGATGGGCATGGATGTTAGCTCAGGGCCACTCTTCCTCAGCAAAAAAAAGGAGGATTGGCAGTAGTTAGCTCAGGGCTAATCTTCCTCAAAAAGGAAAAATGTCTTTCCCCATATGCCATATGTACTACTTTTATGAGCTAAAATATTATTATTAAAGGATATGATTCATTTTCAACAATTTTTTAATCCAAAATATTATGCAAAAGTGTCCCAGGAAAAGTTGTAAAACAGAAAAAGGACCCCCAAAATTCTGGCCATAGCCTTGACACTTACAGTGTTGCAGAAGGAACATCAACAAAATAATTTTACTTTCAGACACTGTTAATAACATAATCATGTTTAAAAGAGGTTTTAAAGAATTCACAGCACTACTGCATAAATATTCCAACCAAAAAAATCTTCCCCAAAATTATATCTGTTCATCTCCCAAATCAAAAACGGTCAAAAAACATTCATGCTAGCCCGGTGATAGCACTAAGTGTACAGCAGCAGAGAATCTGGACTTGAAAAAACCTAGAATCCAGCCACAGCTCCACCTTTCCTGGTGGATCAATCTTGGCAAATTATCTAACCTATCACGCCATTTCTTCATCTATAAAAATGAGAGCCTCTCTCTTGTGCTATAATATAATGACTTTCTGATCATTTACCATTCAGTCCCCACGGCCCTCTACGTCAGCTGACTGTAGCATATCAACAGCTTGACAGAGACAACAGATAACTTTAATGCCCATTTTAGGATTCTAATCCTTTCACTTCCATGCAATCATTTTGAATTTCTATTGATGGTTATAGGGGCATCAATAGCCCCTAGCACCATAAATAATGAGTTTGCAAAGGTAAAATTAAAATTCCTCGATTTCTCTATGTTTTAGCAGCTCTAATAAGTGCAACAGGGAAAAGATTAAAACTACCAACCAAAGTAAGGTCATGGACTCCTTTCAATGATTTCCGTTGCCCAAACAGGAAAAAATTACTAAAGTTAAAACTATCTCCCTGTCCATTTTTCCTAATGTTTCCCTCCCAGTTAAACCCCGTGAATTTGGAAAGAAGTATTATATTCAAAGGAGGAGAGACAAGAGGGACACTAGGGAAATAAAACCCAGAAAAATCACTGCCTTACACATTTCTAACTCTAATAGCATGAGAAAGGGGCAAGAGTCATAAACTGAGGTTCTGCCCTCACTTGCCATTCACCATGTGACCCAAGGTAAGTCACTGAATTCTCCGGACTCAGCACTTTCCTGAGAGCAAAAGTAAATTGTACTTCTGAATGTTCACTTCAATTCATTCGTAGCTTGCAGAATATAAAGTCAGATCAGCGGGTAAGTGGCAAAAGTTGGTAATGGTACAAACACCACTATCGTCTCAAATACTACGAAAAAGTGAGTCCTTTAATAATGAGGTTTATAATGCAGGCTATCACTTAAAAAAGAAACACTGAGAAAAAAGACCACTGCAGAAATAATGACCAATAATTATTATCCCAATAAAATAATGCAAAATAAGCACTCAACAACACCTCCACGGGGAGGAAAGTCTGTTTATCCACATACATAGTTTCATCCACAGACTGACTGCACTCCTGGACGGCCGCCTCCACTGCAGATCGTTCGATCATGTTTGATGACACTGAAAAATTTCAAAGTCAAATTTTAAAAAGAGGCATAAAAATCAGTTCTTTCCACAGATAGCTTTTTTCCTAAAAATAACCTGCAAACACCAATTCTGATACTTTCATTACATAGTTTTTAGGAGGAAAGAAGTGTTAGGTCAGAATAACAAAAGCTGTATCTCAAATACCTTAATTTCCACACTTAGGTACACACGTAATACCTTAATACACAGTCAAATGCATTACTTATCTTAGTCCTGTTTAGTAACATAAATTCAGTTATAAAACACTCTGTAAGAGCAAGCTGCACCCACGTCTATGATTCAGTGCTCTAGAAGAGTATTTCTAGAAGAGCATTTTTTTCTAGAAGAGCATTTCTCCTTTGTAGGCCCATGCTAGGGTAAAGGTCATGTATTTAACAAAAGGACGCCTAAAGAAAGGCTGAAGAAGGCAGAGTTAGCCCTGCTCACTTACTCTTTTTCCCCCTAAACATTTAGGAGCACCTAACTTAAGTAACAGGCCTGCAGAGTGACAAAAGGGACCATAAAGGACCGGGTCAAAGCCAGAAGTCAAGTGCAGAAAGACGGCGGTGACAGCTCCACAGGGGCAGAGCTGTGAGAGTCTCCAGCGGAACTAGAGGTCCCGCCCGGCCCGGGAAGAAGCGCTCGCAGCAGCCTGGCCCGTAATGCGGGACATCTGCATGTGGAATCCGCCTTTCTCCTTCAGCTACAGACCTAACTGAGGATGCAGACCTACACAAACAGCTGAAGCGCTATCAGAAGACGTCACCTACAGGGCTGCTTTTCAACCGCGTCGATGATCTTTTCCAGCGCATCTTCAAGCTCTACTTCACTGACAGACTGAAGAGCCTCTGTGAGGTACTTAATCGCCTCACTGATAAGAGAGGGAAAGAAAAGACAAGGCAGGTCAGTGGTAATTAAGGCTAAAAGTTTTATGCCAAAACTAGCAAACACGCATCCATCTGGATTGAAAGTAGACCCACTCTCTCCTCCCTGCAAGGAGGGCTCAACTTTCCTGTGCTTCCTGGACAAATTCTTCCTTCGATCCCCTGCCAACATCACCGTTCTTACAGCCCCGAAGCACGTCCTTCTACGAAGAAGCCTTCCTAGTCCAGCCCACTGCTGCCGTCTCCCCTCCCTCCTGAAACGGTTAAAATCCCCCTTTCCCACACCTTAGAGCTGATAGCACAGTCACCTCGTACTAGTCATTGCCTCACATTTAAGGCAGGGCTCCGTCTGCTTCAATGTTCTGAACATAACACTCAAACATGTACTTATTAAGCTGATAATGCATTCCCTTAAAGTAAATTCCAGTAATTTCAATAGTAAAATCAGAAAAACACTAGGCTACAGAAAACTTTGACATTTGGATATGGTCATAGAAGCAACGCTCATGTTAAAATCACATGAATCGGGGCTGTGGCCGAGTGGTTAAGTTCTCTCGCTCCGCTGCAGGTGGCCCAGTGTTTCGTTGGTTCGAATCCTGGGCGCGGACATGGCACTGCTCATCAAACCACGCTGAGGCAGCGTCCCACATGCCACAACTAGAAGGATCCACAACGAATATACAACTATGTACCAGGGGGCTTTGGGGAGAAAAAGGAAAAAAGTAAATAAAATCTAAAAAAAAAATCTAAAATCACATGAATCCCCTCACCTAAAAAAAACTCAATAAAGCTGAAATTTAAATTTAAAAATGACATGAATCCCTGATTTAAATATCACTGCTCAGAATGAGCACTGCCTACTTAATTAGCTCATTACATGCCATTCTGTATTCACAGCACACCACTTTACACTTTACGTCAATATTATTGTTGGAGTCATCACACGACTTGTTCTATACCTCTGGTTGCTTATTGAATGTTTCATGTGTGGCTGCCACACCCCTCCAATTTAGTATAGATGATGCTTCTTGAGAACCGGAGCTGTGTCATCCTTTGTCAGAGTGCTAAGAACACTCAAGGTGGCCCATAAACACTTGATGATTAAGTCCCTACAATCACACACTTATTGGGTGAATCCTGGGACAGCTCTTAGGATCTTAGGGCCTTCTCAAGGCCCGTGAAGCCATATAGGCGCTGGCCCCTGCTGAATCTCACTAGACTCAGCCAGCATCTCTGGCCTTCCTGGGGCTCTCCTGCCGCCGGGGCTTGACATGGTCATTTCCCCTCATTCTTCCCTTCACCTACTCAAGTCCTGCTCATCCTTCAACACTCAGCTCAAACCACTTCTTCAATGAAGCCTGCCTTGACTCCAGAGCAGCCACCTTGTTATACATTATCACAGAACTTCTTTCACAATTGAACTTAAATTGTGAATTATTTAATGTCCACAGTAGACAGAGTTCTAAGATGACTCCTAATGATCCACGCCTCCTGGTAATCACACCCATGTGCAATCCTCTCCCCTTGAGTGTGGGCTGGACCTAGTGACTTGCTTCTAACAATAGAATATAGCAATTGTGATGAAACATTTTACTGTATTGTAATTTTAAAAATAAAATTTCTAAAGTGACAAAATGTCACTTCCTTGATTAGGTTACAAAAGACTGTGACTTCTGTCTTGCTGGCAGAACTCTTGCTGGCTTTGGTGAAGCAACCTGCCATGTTAGAAGGGCCGACATGGCAAGGAACTGAGGGAGGCCTCCAGCAAACAGCCAGCAAGGACTGAGGCCCTCAGTCCAACAATCCTGACAGCCACTGAATGAGCTTGGAAGCAAAGCCTGCCCAAGTGACATCTGACATGACCCCATCTTGACGGCAGTCCCGTGAGAGACCCTGAAGCTGAGGACTCAGCTAAGCCAACCTGAATTCCCGAACCACAGAAAATGTGAGAAAATCAGTGTGTATTGTTTTAAATCTCTAAGTTTTGGGGTAACTTGTTACGCAGCCATAAATAACTAATACACTATCTGCCCTGGGAGCTCCACAATGTCTTACTCTCTCTTGTCCTTCCTTGCCCCAGAACAGGGCTTTGCTGCTAACAGATCTCAGAGTATTTCTGACTGAGTTAATTAATGAATGACAGCTTAATATTAAGTCAAATTCTAAGTCAAAAAAAAGAAAAATTGATTGATCAATCGCTCATATTTTCAAAATGTCAGGGATCAATGAACATACTCACTGCTTTCTCCCAGGGCATATCCTTGTTCACCACTAACCCAAAAGCAAAGTTAAAAGGCCCATAAAACTCATCCTTAAAGCAAAAACAAAGACACTCTCCACACACAGTAAGAGCAACCAAAACGTGGTACAGAAAAGTATATTCCTTCCAGCAGGTATTTAAACATGTAAAAAATATCAAATTCTAAAAAAGAAGAGGCAGATTTAATGAGAAAAATCTTGGAAAGCTTCACTCTCTAAGTCCTAGAAAACACGGATATGGCCAGGAAACCTGACTATCAGAGAAGTTCTAAAGGAAATCTTTAAAAAAATTAAAAACGAGGACACCTAGGAACAGGCTTCGAACCTGCCCACTTTTGAGCCCTCCAGGAATCACACCCGACCCAAACTCGGGAGGGCGGGGAGGGCGCAACCTTCAGCCACAGAGCTGTCGCCGGCCCCGCACCGCGCTCTCCCGGGGCCCCCACCCGCGCTCAGCAGCGCCGGCGGAGGCTGCGAAGGCCCCACCGTGCGGGCGAGACCGAGAGGGGCCCGGGGCACAGCGCCGCCCGGATCCGCCGCCCCCTGCGCAGCGCGGCGCGGGCCAGCCCCTCGCCCCGCCCGGCGGGCACTTCCCACCCCGCGCCTCGGGGACTCCGGGGGGCGTCGCAGCCCCAAGCCCGGGCCGGACCCGCCCCGCGCCTTAGAGCCTTTTAAGGGCCGAACCCCTTCTCCGCCCGCGCGGCGGCCTGACCCTGGCCCTCCCCTCCCCTCCCCGCGGCCAACTCACCCGCGAAGGAGCAGGCCGCGCAGCCTGAAGGCGGACAGCGCGCGGCTCCGCAGCCGCTCCGGCGCCATGCTCGCGTTTTGGCGCCACGGCCGCGGCCCCGCCCCCGGGCCCCGCCCCTAGCCGCCCTGTCCCCCATTGGCCCCGTCCCTTCCTGACCCCGCCCCTAGAAGCCCCGTCCCTTCATAGCCCCGCCCCTCATGGCCCTCCCCTAGCCGCTCTGTCCCCGCCCCTCATAGCCCCGCCCCCCGTAGCCCCGCCCCTAGTCTCCTGGGGCCCGCCCCCTCGTGGCCCCCGCCCCTAGCCGCCCCGTCCCCTTTCGGCCCCGCCCCGCCCCTCCAGGTCCCTTTCCCTGCGAGGGGCGCATGGCACCTCCCCCAGCCTACGGGCTGGAGGCTGGAGCAGGAGACGACCCTACCCTCTTTTGTCCCCCGGAGACTGGAGGCGACAGCGTTCTTCGCTGGGCTCCGGTTGGGAACGTGCTGCCCTTATCCCAGGTCCCTCGCCGAGACACCCTCTCAGCTCAGCCCTCGACCTCCCGCGACCCGTCGGGCTCTGCTGGGACTGGGGGCCCCTGTGGACCACGTTCCCTCCTTCACACCCCTGGCAGTGCCCGGGGGCCCCTGTGGACCACGGTCCCTTCTTCACACCCCTGGAAGTGCTCGCCATTGGGCCTCCCCCGACGTCCACTGGAAGCTACTACAAGTCGCTGTCACTGCCGCCCACCCCGCGTTTTATTTAGGTCGAGGGCTTCCTGCGCGCCAGGCGCTGTCATAAGCCCTGTTAAAGGTGTCAATTGCTGTACTGCTCATCAAGCCGAATGAGCTGGGTGCTGTTTTTGTCAGCATCTTCATTCTAAAGATGAGGAAACTGAGACACAGAGATGGTAGATGGCTGGCTCAAGACGAAACGCTCAGTAGGTGGTGGAGGCAGGATTTGAACTCAGCCTGATTCCAGCAAGTGGGCTATTAATGTGCCGCACTTCAAAACGCTGCCTTCCATGAGTAAACCCATGAGTGCTTACAAGTGCACACGCAGCCTTGTGAAACGCGAGGACAATTTCTAAGTACTGATGTACAGGGACCTCCAGAGTATATGGTGAACTTAAAACAAAAAGCAAAGGATGGTAACGGAGGGGAAATACGAGTATAGATGCATATTTACTTGTTTTTGAGTTTAAAAAAACCTCTGGAAGTTTACGCTAGATGCTAGAAAAATGGTTAACTGTGAAGGGCAGGAGGGTACGGATGGAAGTGAGACCTTTGTGGTGAGACAACCATTGATCCATGTACATGTTTTACATATTCAAAGAAAAAAGTAAACTTAAAATTGAAAGCACACTCAAACCAATACACCTAACTGTATATTAAATTGGTAACATAACATCACAGAGAAAAGTGATTTTTGAACACAGATCTCTGTATATTTTCAGTGAAATATATTCTAAAGATAAAAAAACTGCAAAGAAAATTTGAACTTTTGTGTAAGAAAGAAGAGGAAACAAAAATCAATAAACACAGTCAATTCTCATTATTGGAGGTAGTTATGTTCTATAAAAGTGCCACCAACACTGAAATAGCAAATAATCGTTGCTCCCAGGGGAAATAATCCCAGGGTTAGGTCCCTCTGAGCCTCCGGTCACAACATTTTCATCAACTGATCAATACATAACTTTGTTTTACGTGTGTTTCTGTTTAAAGACATCTTTAATATATATTGTTGATTCAGTAACATTGAACTCAGGGCAACGGCACTATAATTCATGCCTGAGGGAAGTTTATCTAATGTCTCTCTAAGGCGCCTCACAGCCTCCTCGTGCCTTGGAACAATAGACAGCACTATGCTTCAAAGCCATTTTAAACAGCAAAATCACCAAGAAAATTATAAAAATACAGAAAACGTGGCGCTAAATGTGCCTCAGAAAAGACACCTGTTTATAGTATGAAAGAGGAAACAAGAAAGCAGAGTCATCTCACTCAACCTCAGCTGAGAACCTGTGTGATGGGGAATTCAAATTCTTCACTGTTCTGTGTGTTTCTGAGAATGACTGTGAAAGCCCCCAGGTTTGATCTGAGAGTTACAAATAAGTTTTATAGTGAGTAGGTGAATTCGCAAATATGGAACGCACAATTAATGAGGACCAACTGTGTCTGCTTAAGCACTAGAAGGATAGAGAAGAAACAAATAGTTATCTATGGGTAGGAAAGTGGAAGGAATAGGGATATAAAATGCCAAAACCATTGGGCAAGTGTTTTAGGGAACAGGATATTTGCTCAAAGTATCACCCTAAGATTACTGGCTAATGATACAAAGGGAAAAACTTTTAGAACAGATGGTTCAGAGGTTACCACCTTAACCAAGTACCAAACCTAGAATCACAAATAGGGGACTAATTTGACATTATGTTACGATTATAATGCAATACAACATATATGGCATTACTTATGAAGTATTCTTGCCAAAAATGTCAACCTCAATTTAATCAAGTCCAGGTCTAACTTCTGATTTAAGGAAATACGGAGGAGAGAGGACCAAGGTAAATTACACCATGAGGAAACAATCAGACAAATCCAGAATGTGGAACAATCTAACTGGCCTGGTCTCTTCAAAAAGTTAGCGTCATGAGAGGAAAACAGATGGAAGGATTGATCCAGATCGTGGTAGCCAGACTCCACAAGAGCCCTCAATGATTTTTGCTTCCTGGAATTCATGCCTTGTCCACTCGCCTCCCACACTGAAGAGGACTGACCTGTGTAATCAATAGGGTGTCCTGGAAAGGACAGGTGTGACTTCTAAGGCCGGGTCATAGAATTCATTGCTATTTCTGCCTTGCTGTTTCTTAGGTCACTAGCTCTTGGGGAAGCCAGCTGCCCTCAAGCAGCTCCAGGGCAAGGACCCTGGGTTAAGAAATCAAAGCCTCCTCAACAGCCAGCACCACCTTGACCTCCATGTGCTAGTGGGTGTGAGCAATGTCAGAAGCAGATCTGCCAGCCCTAGTGATGTCCTCAGATGACAGCAATCCTCGCCAATATCTTGACTGTAGCCTCCTGAGACCAGAGACTGAACCACCCACCAGGCTGTTCCCAAATTCCCCACCTACACAAACCGTGTGAGATATTAAATGTTTTTTATTTATTTATTCCCAGGGTAACAGGGAAATCTTGAATATGGATTGGATATTACATTATCTTAAGTAATAACTTCATTATTGCTTAGGTGTGATAACGATATCGTAGTTATATGTGTTAATGTCCCTATTTTTAAGAAATGCATACCGAAGTGTAACTTTCAAATAATTCAGCAAAATGAAAAATACACACACATACAAACAAATATAAAGCTATTATGGCAATATTGACAATTATTAAACTTAAGTAGAGGCTACACAGGTATTCCTTGAACTATTTTTCCAACTTTTCTTTATGTTTGATATTTTTCATATTAAGAAATTGGAGGGGCCCGCCTGGTGGCACAGCGGTTAAGTGCGCACGTTCTGCTTTGGCAGCCCTGGTTCACCGGTTCGGATCCTGGGTGAGGACATGGCACTGCTTGGCAAGCCATGCTGTGGTAGGCGTCCCATGTATAAAGTAGAGGAAGATGGGCATGGATATTAGCTCAGGGCCAGTCTTCCTCAGCAAAAAGAGGAGGATTGGCAGATGTTGGCTCAGGGCTAATCTTCCTCAAAAAAAAAAAAGAAAGAATAAGAAATTGGAGATGAAAGAATTTATCCTGATTTCCCACCTTCCTCTCACAATCTGACAATGATTCCCTTTCTCTGATAAATTTTTGTTTTCTTCCCTATGGCTCCTTCACCTGGCAGCTCATCAAGTCCTAATATTTCTATGAACGACTAAATGCTGATGACTCCAAAATCCATACCCTGCCCCCGTCTCTCTCAGGCTTAAAATCCAATTCAATACGCCCCCAAATGAATTCAACATCGCCCCTCATAAATGTGCTCCTTCTGTCATGTTCAGCACCCTAGTGAAGCGCCCCACCCCTTTACTCAGTAACCAGGCTAGTAACTAGCTGGCATCATTAACCCCTCCCTCTCCTTCATCCCCCGCCAACCAATTAGCCACCAAGTCCCATTGGTTCTACCTTTTAAGTCTCTCTCAAACCTGTGCACTTCTCTGTCTCCATGGCCAGAGCCCTCACTCAGGACACCAGCCTCTCTAGCCAGCAGCGACTGACCTGCTAACTGGTCTCTTTGCCTCCAATCTTGCCATCAAAATAAGCTTTCTAAAACAATTATTATTGTGTCACTTTTGTACTTAAAAGGCTTCCAGGGCCCTCTCCGGTGGCGGAGCAGTTAAGTTTCCAGGCTCCGCTTTGGCGGCCCAGGGTTCCCTGGTTCCGATCCTGGGCACAGATCTATGCACTGCTTGGCAAGCCATTGCTGTGGCAGGCGTCCCACATATAAAATAGAGGAAGACGGGCACAGATGTGAGCTCAGGGCCAGCCCTCCTCAGCAAAAAGAGGAGGATTGGTGGCAGATGTTAGCTCAGGGTTAATCTTCCTCAAAACAAAAAAAAAAGTCTCCCAAATCTCCCCATATTAGGATAAAGTCAACAGGTCATCTCTGTCTTCCTCTCCTGTTCCATCTTCCAGGAACACCTCCCTCCGGCCTCCCCCTCCCCCCCGCCCCCGTTTGCCTGAACAACTTTCACTCCCCCTCCAGTTCTTTTTTTTTTTTAAAGATTTTATTTTTCCTTTTTCTCCCAAAGCTCCCTGGTACATAGTTGTGTATTTTTAGTTGTGGGTCCTTCTAGTTGTGCCATGTGGTACGCCGCCTCAGCATGGCCTGATGAGCAGTGCCATGTCCGCACCCAGGATTTGAACTGGCGAAACCCTGGGCCGCTGCAGTGGAATGCGCAAACCTAACCACTCAGCCACGGGGCTTGCCCTCCTCCAGTTCTTAGTGTAGACTTTACTTTCTCTCAGGAACCTTCCCTGACTCTCCAAATGGGAGTTAGGGCCCTCTTACGTAGCCCCGAGGGGCCCAGACCTTTTGCACTCAGCACACTTCCTGCACAGTATGATGATGGTCTGTTTGCTGGTCTGTAGCCTCCACTAGACTTTAAGGTCCAGGAGGACATTTCAAAAATACAATACCAATATTACTAGTAACAAGAAAATGGTAGAGTAAGGACTTTAAAAACATATTTTTATTGAGGTATAATTAACACTGTGCATATCTGAAGGATGCAGTTTAATGAGTTTCGATAAATGTATAAACCCATGTAACCACTCCAATCAAGATATAGAATACTTCTATCACCCCAGACTGTTCCCTTTACTCTTTTCCATAAATCTCCTTTCCCTACCTGTAAACAACTACTTTTCTGCTTTCTATCACCATAGATTAGTTTCGTATATCTGAATTTCATATAAATGAAATCCAATAGCAGATATTTTTTGGGTGGCTGGTTTCTTTTTTCCCCCCAGCTTTATGAGGAATGATTGACAAATAAAAATTGTATATGTTTAAGGTGTACAACATGATGTTTTGATATATGTATACAATGTGACGTGATTACACCAATCAAGCTAATTAACATATTCATCACCTCACACAGTTACCATTTTGTGTGTGTGATGAGAACACTTAAGATCTACTTTCTTGGCAAATTTCAAGTATACAGTACATTTTCATTAGCTATAGTTGCCATGCTATACGTTAGGTCTCCAGAATTTATTAACCTTGTAACTCAAAGTTTGTACCCTTTGACCAACATCTCCCTATTTCCCCCACCCTTCAGCCACTGGTAGTCACTACTGTACTCTTTGTTTCTATGAATTTGACATTTTTATGTTCCACATCTAAATGAGATCATGCAATATTTGTCTTTCTGTATCTGGCTTATTTCAATTAGCATAAGGTCCTTCAGGTTCATCTATGTTGTCACAAGTAGCAAGATTTCCTTCTTTTTTAAGGCTGAATAATATTCCATTGTGTATGTATAATTTTCTTTATTTCTTTATCCATGCATCCATTGGTGGACACGTAGGTTGTTTCGTGTCTTGGTCATTGTGAATAATGCTGCTATGAACATGGAGGTGCAGATATCTCTTCAAAATAGTGATTTCATGTTCTTTAGATGCATACTCAGAAGTGGGATTGCTGGATCATATGGTAGTTCTAGTTTTAATTTTTTGAAGAACCTCCATAGTGTTTTCCATAGTGGCTGTACCAATTTACACTCCACCAGCAGTGTACAAGGGTTGCCTTTTTCCACATCCTCACCAGCACTTATTATCTTTTGACTTTTTAATAATAGCCATCCTACTAGGTATGAGGTGATAGCTCATTCTGGTTTTGTATTTCCCTGATAATTAATGTTGTTGAGCACTTTTTCATACATCTGTTGGCCATTTGGATGTCTTCTTTGGAAAAATGTCTATTCAGATCCTCTGCCCAATTTTTAATCAGGTAATTTGTCTTTTTGTTATTGAGTTTTACGGTTTTTTTTTTCTTTTCCTGAGGAAGATTTGCCCTGAGCTAACATCTGTGCCAATCTCCCTCTACTTTGTATGTGGGATGCCCCCACAGCATGGCTGCTGATGAGTGGAGTAGGTCTGCACCCGGGATCTGAACCTGCAAGCCCAGGCTGCTGAAGTGGAGTGTGTGGAACTTTAACCACTCAGCCACGGGGCCAGCCCCTGAGTTTCTTATATGTTTTGGATACTAACCTTTATGAGATATATGGTTTGCAAATATTTTTTCCCATTTTGTAGGTGCTTTTTCCTTTTTTTTGATAGTTTCCTTTGCTGTGCAGAAGCTTTTTAATTTGATGTAGGCCCATTTGTTTATTTTTGCTTCTGTTGCCTGTGCTTTTGGTGTCATATCCAAAAAAAATCACTGCCAAGACCAATGTCAAGGAGCTTACTGCTATGTTTTCTTCTAGGAGTTTTACGATTTCAGGTCTTACATTCAAGTCTTTAATCCATCTTTTGTTTTTTTGTGTATGTTCTAAGGTAAGAGTCCAGTTTCATTCTTTTGCATGTGGCTGTCCAGTTTTTTCCCAACACCATTTATTGAAGAAATATCCTTTCCTCATTGTATATTCTGGGCTCATTTGTCATAAATTAATTAATATACATGGGTTTATTTCTGGGCTCTCTTTCCGTTCCATTGATCTATATGTCTATTTTTATGTAAATACCATACTGTTTTGGTTACTATTGCTTTGTAATATAGTTTAAAATCAGGAAGATATACTACTTTATAGTCATCAGATTGGCAAAAATTAAAAAGGCAGATAATATCAAGGATTAAAAGCAACTGAATATTATCTACTTGTTATCTACTGCTGATAGGCCTGTAGATCACTACAATTACTTTGGAAAACAACTTAATATTATCCAGTAAAGTTGAAGATGTTCATACCTTATATCCCAGAAAGGGTATATACAGTTCTATTTGAAATTATTTTCTTTCTATGATATAAACCCCTTCTCCATCATCTTTTTACTTTTACCTTTTACTTCAGTGAAATTTAGTAGAAATACAAGCAATTTTTAAAAGTGGGTTTTTAAAGAAAATACAGTGTGTTTCTGAGTTTCATGTCTGAGGTGATGCGTCAGAGGACATAAATAGCATGCCCCATGGGGAGAAGGTCCCTAACTCTGTGAATGGAATTATTCCAGGAGTTTAAAGCCAGATGTGACTATGAGGTCATAAACCTTCTAAGAATTCACAGAAATCTTGGAGAGGGCTTGGAATTCTGCTGCAGGTGGAAAGGGGGTTCCTGGGACAAAGGACCATGAGTGGACATATGGTTGCATACATCATAGGGGAGAAAGAACTCTACCCTCTAGGTCCCTCTGGCTGGTCTAAGAATTAAATTGACATGAGACAGAATCACAGGAGAAAACCAAATCTTAATAACACATATACGTAGGAGAAACCCAGGAAAATTGAGTAACTCTCCAAAATGGTTGAAGCCACCACCTTAAATACCATCTTCAGCTAAAGACAAAGGAGGATGTTGAGGGTAGTGGTTTGGGATTCCAAAGGGGAGGAAGGCAATTTACATGGAGCTGGAAAAGCAAATGTTTGCTAAACAAATGTTTGTGGGGCCATCTGTAGACATGTGACCTGAGAGACAGAACTTGGATAAAAATAGGCTTAGCAAGGACCCTCCCAGTCTACCTATACCCAGAGTTATCTATGGTGATGGCTTGTCCTGGGGACAGGCCTTCTATCTTAAATTCTTTTAGGTAGTTAGGGGGAAGGCCAAAGTTTCTTTCAGAGTCTTTTGTTCTTAAAAATAATCATCCACTGGTGGATATTTATCCCAAGAACATGAAAACACAAATACATAAAGATACATGCACCCCTGTGTTCATCGCAGCATTATTCACAATAGCTAAGACTTGGAAGCAACCTAGGTGCCCATCAAGGGACCAATGGGTGAAGAAGATGTGGTATATACACACAACGGAATACTACTCAGCTATAAGAAACAATGAAATCTGGCCCTTTGTGACAACATGGATGGACCCTGAGGGCATTATGCTAACTGAAATAAGTCAGAGGGAGAAAGTCAAATAGCATACGATCTCACTCATAAGTAGAAGATAAAAATGACAACAAACAAACACATAGCAACAGAGATTGGATTGGTGGTTACCAGTGGGGAAGCGGGGAGGGAGGAGGGCAAAAGGGGTGATTAGGCACATGTGTGTGGTGGTGGATTGTAATTAGTCTTTGGGTGGTGAACACGTTGTAATCTACACAGAAATCAAAATATATAACGATGTACACCTGAAATTTATATAATGTTATAAACCACTGTTACTGCAATAAAAAAAGAATTTAAAAAATCAAACCAGAGACACATTTTTGGGTGGCAAATTCTGATCCCCCACAGCATTAATAACAATGACTACTACTACTGCTACTACCATTTTCTGAGGACCTACTTTACAGAGCGGTGCTGTGTGCTATCCATCTTTCAGCCTTCAGTCCTGACTCCCCCACCATGCCAATCCAAAGTAAATGTTTGAATAATCAAGTTACATTATCTACTCCCTGCTTAAGACCCTTTTAGCCTTACAGTTAAAGTTCAGACTCCTTAGCAGGACATGCAAGGCTGTGTGATTGTCTGTTCCAGCTTTATCCTTGGATACGTCCTACAAGCATCCACAGCCATATTGAACTATTTCTACAACGGGTAAGAAAAACTCAAGAGTGTCCCTTTGTGCACCCCTTCCCCAACAGATCACATCTTTCCTTCCCACTTTTCTGCTGTATTTTGTCTACGTTTCTACTATACCACTTTTCCTCCCAAATTGCATGTATTTCTTTACATCTTTCCCTCCGCCTGGACTTTGAAGCCCCTGTGGTGCTACTACGTCCTCTTCATCTTAAAATTCACTTTGTTTATTTATTCATTTAGTCAACAGATATTAATTTAGCATCCACTTGGTACTGAGCTCTGGAGTGTCAATACTACTTGATTCCTTTGAAGAGTTTCCAGTCTAATTAGAGCCTCAGCACCAACTACCTACAGCGAGCAGGCACTTAGTAGGTGTATAGTGAATAAATCAATGAATTAACTTGTTCCGATCAGTGCGCAGCCAGAGTCTCTCCAAAGGGTAACTCTGGACAAAGGCACTTACAGACACCGGTAGAATTATTATCTTCTCTCCTGGCCCTAGTTTTCATTCAATAACATCACTTTCTAACAAGAGCTAGCCAACTTTTTCTGTCGGGAGCCAGACTAAGTATTTCCAGCAGTGTGGGCTACACGGGCATCGTCGCAACGGCTCAGTCCTCCTTCTTCGCCCCGGGGTGCGGAGTGACAGCAGCTGGGGACAGCGCCTGAGCAAGTTAGGGGGCCGGGCGCCAACACGACTTTATGGACAGGGCTGACAGCGGAATTCATAGCATTTTCACGAAATATCATCCTTTTGATTTTTTCCCAAACATTCCAAATGTAGAACGTTCTTAGCTTGTGGGCCTTTAACAGGCGGCGGACGGGATTTGGGCTCAGGTCGTAGCCGGCTGGCGTGTAGTTTAGAAAGGTCCGGATTTTAAAAAATGCAAACTTAAATTAAATACACATACACTACTCTGGTGGATAACCGTCTCTGCTGCAGGCTGAGCGGAAAGCGTTGGTGTGTTAACACGTTGACTCCGGTCACAGGGACTGGAAGACCCTGCCCCCCGCGACCCGGCCGCGCAACCCCGGGACGCGCCCGCGCGCCCCCCGGCGCCGCCCCGCTGGCTTCCGGGCGCGGGCGCGCAGACGCACGGCCGCGTCCCCACCAATCTCGACCCTCGCGGCGCCCCGTCCGGCGCGGAAGAGCCGGCGTGAGAGGCCGCTCGGCGGCGGCGGCGCGGATGGCGGACTCGCGACCGTTCTGCGTGGCCGAGGAGCGTAGCGGCCACTGCGCCGTGGTGGACGGAAACTGCCTCTACGTGTGGGGGGGCTACGTGGTAAGGGGAAGAGGCGGGCCGCCCCGCCCCGCCGGCCCCGCCCTCGGCCGCGCGCCCGCCCCCGGCTCCGCTCAGGCCCCGACCCCGCCGCGCCGTGCGTCCCGCGGCCGCCCTGGGGCTCCGCGCGCTCGGGGGATCGCGCTCGGGGGTGGGGGGTCGCGGTCGGGGGTATGGGGGCCGCGCTCGTGGGTGGGGGGGCCGCGCTCGGGGGGCGGCGCTCTGGGGGGGTCCGCACTCTGGGGGCCGCGCTCAGGGGCGAGAGGCGCGCTGGGCGCCGTGCGCAGTTGGTGCCTCTGTCCCTGTCGGCGGACGAGGTGGCGCGGCGCCTCGGTTCGTACCGTGCTGAGCCTTGTTTCGTGGCGGTCCCTTGCCAGTGGGTCGTCACCAAGCTCTCTCCGAGTCTCCAGAGAGACTCACCTTAGCGACAACGTACCGAAGAGCTGTACGCCCGCAAGTTCTACCTGCCGTGGAGGTTTGACCGCGCGTGTGCGCTTTGTTTCTGGCGTCATAGGATTGCAGACTCAAGGATGCTGAAGCTGGAGGGCAGTGCAGACGTAGATGCCAGCCCCTTTAGTTTACACGTAGGACACTCGCGGGCCATCTGCAAGTTCTGCTGGGAGTAGACCCTGCGTCTCCTGACTCTCCATCCTGTTTTGTGACACGTGTAACGTGGCTGAGTCACCCACTGAAATAAAGTACATGCCGTCTGTGTGACATGATCCTCGGATGCGAGTGGGTTTTTGCTGTTTTGTTTGTTTATTTTTGATTTGGTGCAGTATCAGGACGGGAAAATGAGAACTAACCTTTGAGTGCCTACTATACCCGGCATGTGCTAGGAACTCTTGTCCCTAATCTTATATAATCCTATCATATCTTGTAAGGTGAGTCCTTTTAAAAATAAGGACGATGAGTCAGTGAGAGTGAGTAACTTTAATGGCCGTTTGACCTTGAGGCCACCAGATTCCACCCCAGGTATATTGGATTTCCGAAGGCTATATTTTTCCCATGATAAGTGACATAAATTAGATGACTGTACTTTCTTAATGTCTAGTATTTGCACCCTTTGTTCCTGATGACAAAGTAGTCCAGATATAGTGATGGTTTTATGCAGAAGAATATTTTGATTGTTTTTGAGCTCTGCTACTTAAAAATGTAGAGGTGTCAAACTTCATCTGTTACATTGATTCTTAATATGGCAAAAGTTGTGAAAAAAATTTCACTTAAAAATATTAATCTGTAATATCTCATGTTTGGGACAGTATAGATTTCTTTCGGGCCCCTAAGTGAAATGTCTGGATTTTTTATATCTCATTTTAATCTTGAAAATTGTGTAATCAGTTAAATTCCAGTTCTTCAGGTGGCAGTGAAAAGAAGTACTTCTTTTCCTCCTACTTGTTGATCCAATGAGTAGCGTGCTGTAAGAACTGCCCTGGAAAGTACCTCAGATTGAGATTGTCTGCTGCTTTTTAAATTCCAGGGATTATCAGCGGTTAAATAGGTCTAAGGCATAAGTGGAAGGAAAGGAGAGTGGGAGGCAAAAAAGAAGGCATGGCATGTCATGAGAAAATATAGACTCCTTCTGACAGTTGTTTTATTCAGACCCTTCTGAACAGAGGATAGCTAAAAGGCCCTGGAAGCTGGAGGTAATCCGGTAGTCAATAGTTAAGAAGAATGAACAGCTAATTTCTGATTATTTGTTCCAGTCACAATTTTCCTCCTCATTAACACAATGTGTGTCAAAATTGACAGACATATTTTATATCCTAAAACTTGAATGGCCCACCAATATCTGTCTAAATTACTTATTACTCTTGTCAAACATATCCTAAAGAACGCTGTGTCTGAAAACAGCCCTGCCTCTAGAGCTAGGAGCGGCTGAGCTGAGTTAGTGGTAAATTCTTATTGGTACCAGAATATTCTTTTGCTCCTGGTTCTTCCCTATCCTTTCCACATAACTGAAGTCCATACAAACTTTAATGCGCTAGTAGGAACATTTAAAAGTTGTGAACAGTTTTCCCAAATTTTGGAGGAAAAGCACAGTGTCTTAGCATGTTTGCAGATGATATCTTTCTTCTTAGGGCTTAATAATATGAACAGTTTTGTGTCGATAATACAGTTGATCTTATTACACCTTTCTCTGAACTTTTCCTTAGAGAACATATCTGCATAAATATGCTTAATACATGTTTCTGTTATGGATATGGACTTAAAGGGAAGAAAGATCAATTCAGAAAGTGTTTGAAAAGAATCGAGGTGGGAGGCTTACAGTGCCAGACATTAAAACGTCACAATACGATAATAATTAAATCAGTGCTCCAGATGCAAGTTGAGATAGATGATGGAATGGAAGTTACATAAACGGCCAAGCATGTAAGACTATTTTGTATTTAAAAGGTAGCATTTCAATTCTGGAAAAACAACTGCTTATTCAGTAAATAGTCCTGGGATGCCTGGAGGAACATAATATTGGAGCCTTAGGATTGAAGAGTTAAATGTAGAAAAATTAAGCTATACAATACCAGCAGAAAATGCGTGACTTTTGTAAAATCTTGAGTTGGAAAAAGAAAAACTGAATTGGGAAAAACTATAAAAGAAAAGATTGGCAGATCAAACTCTTAAAGAATTAAAAACTGTGATTTTTAAACACCATAAAATAAGAAGGCAAATGACAAACTGGGGAAAATATTTGCATAATGCATATATGATAATGCATAATGCATAAATGATAAGCAAAGGTCCTGTAAAAATAAAGATTAATATCTCCATTGAAATTGAGCATTGGATATATATAAGCAATTTGCAGAAGAAATACAAATATAATATGAATCAAAGAAACCCAGCTGAAAATAATGAGGTTTTTCTTCTCCAATTTGCAAAGGTTGAAAAGAATTTTTGAGAAGAGCATGGGGAAATGAATTACTGGAACACTGGTAGGGGGAGTACAAATTTGTGTAACCTTTTAGAGGAGAAATTTAGCACTGTGTATCAAAAGCTGTAAGGGGCCAGCCCAGTGGCATAGTGGTTATGTTTGCACACCCTGCTTTGGCAGCCCGGAGTTCATGGGTTCGGTTCCTGGGTGCTGACCTACACACTGCTCATCGAGTCATGCTGTGGTGGCATCCCACATACAAAATAGAGGAAGATGGGCACAGATCTTAGCTCAGTGACAATCTTCCTCACGAAAAAGAAAAAAAGCCTTAACTGTGTATTCTCTTTAAGGTAATAGTTACACTTTATGTATTCATAGATAGCCACACAGGCCACCTATGTCATGTAGAAGACATTTATCCTTTTTAGATGCCCAGAATTTGAACCTTCTTCCTCTATTTGTAGTATCCTCCACTGAGTGAGCCTTGTTGGAGTATCTATTTTAGTTGTCTGACTAGCTCCTCTCTACCCCTATAGGATGTAGCCAGGGATTTTGTTCCCTATTGTATCCTCAGTCTCCAGAACTGGGTATTCCTCATAGTGGATGCCCAATAAAAAGAACCTGGTGCCAGGGACTCACTTTTCCAGGCTCCCTTGCAGCTAGGTTGTGGGTGGGTGGCTTGAACTCAGTTAGTTAGATAAATCTGTGCTACATCTGGACTCAGGAGTAAAGATGTAAAAATCAGGACCTGAAGAGGATTTTTACCCAGTGATAGAATTTGAAGGAAGATCAAGGTCCCTGGCAGAAGAGGTGGTGCTACCAGCTAGAGTGTGATGCTCGCCAGACCTGTTCTGTGCTGGGTTTCAGGCTTTGCTCCTCCTTGCACAGATCTGGCTGGTTCTCCAGCCTCCTTGATGATTCTGTGAGCCACTTCATATTCATTTCTTACAATTTTATTTTCTTAATTTTTGAAGTTGAAATGTTTCTACAAAAGAACGTATAAAATAAGTATCATTTAGAGGTAAACATCTGCTTACCTTCCAGGTTAAGAAATTAACTAGAACGAGTACCTCAGAAGCTTCCTGTTTATCTTCACTGATCACATTGGTCCTCACACCCCACAGGAGGCCACTCTCCTTATTTCTGGTTAATCAGTCTTTTCTCTATAGGTTTACCACTCGTGTATGTATATCGAAAGAATGTTATTTGCTTTTGGAGTCACAGCATATGTTTTCTTTTGTGACCTAATACTTTCAGTCAACATTATGCTTTTAGACTCAGACCTTACTTGTATCAGCTGGTGTGCGCTTGCGTGGCTGGGCCTCTTTTCATGTGGTGTTCATTCTGGTTGGTCAGTGCTTGTGCTCCCCACTTATTAAATATTTTGAAATCATTCCTGGATTCATTCATTTGACGTGTGTCCTGTATAATATTCTACTGTGTGAATTTACTGCAGTTTATTTCTCTGTTCCACTATTGATGAAGATTTGAATGTTTATGATGTTTTGCTGTTATAGGCAGTGCTACATTGAGCATTCTTACAACATGTCTCCTATTGTACGTGCACAAGGGCGTGCACATCCTCTGGGGCATACACCAAGGGATGGAATGCTTGGTCACCTAGTACACGCATCTCCAGCCTTACCTGGAAACATCACTTTCCTAAATATTTGTATCAATTTACCCTCCCACTAGCCTCCTCCTTGCTCCACATCCTTGACAACATTTGGTGCTGTCTGGCCTTATATTTTTTGCCAACCCAGTGAGTGTAACATATTTCTCTGTGGTTTTTGTTTGCATTTCCCTGATTACTAATAAAGTTGAGTGTCTTATTGTAACTTATGAACTAGTATTTGTGTTTTCGGTAAAAATGCTGGTTCATGTCTTTTGCTCCCTTGTCTATTGGGTTATTTGTCTTTCCTTACTGATTTGTAGGAATTCTTTAAATATATAGTTATATGAGTTGAATATGTCTTCTCAGTTTGTAGCTCATCTTTTTTTTTTTGAGGAAGATTAGCCCTGAGCTAACGTCTGCTGCCAATCCTCCTCTTTTTGCTGAGGAAGACTGGCCCAGAGCTAACATCTGTGCCCATCTTCCTCTACTTTGTATGTGGGATGCCTACCACAGCAT